GGCTAGATCCAGTGTGTCGGGATTCGAACTGGCGCGTATAATCTCCCTAATGCTGCTTTTCGGCGTGGTAGTGGGAGATACAGACTTAGTCGGCAGAGGCATTGGGGAGTGGATAGGAAATAGAGTTCTAGACGGAAGGGGAAGGGGTAGGTTTGGAGCGAATATGTTTCTCTGCCTTCGAAGATTATTAAGGAGTGGGTACCGGTGTGGTCTTGGAAGGGCAGAATGTGGGTCTTTGTGCGGTAGATGCGGTTGCATGTGCTCGTGTCTCCTCTATCTATGAGGCCGGAATCGCCTTCATGGGTTGTCATGATGGGCTTGAGAGGGATAGAGATAGGTCTATGGTTGCGGTCTGAAGGTAGAAAGAAGCAGCGTTAGTGTTTAAGAGGCACGTACCGACTACTAGGCTCCTACTATGCTACTACTAACAACGTCAAAAGATGGAATATTGGCAAACAGATGGAGGTTTGGTATAACATAAGTTTACCTCTACCCAACCCAGGCCAATCTTACTTCATCTTTATCACTGCCCATTCGACCACTCCTATGCCCCTACCATACCTCGTGGTGGTGGGGGATATGGGGTACCTATCTACCAGTCTCAACCCTACAATGCTACTTCAACGCACTGAATGCCACTCATACACTAATGAACTTGTTGTAGGAGATAAATCGTTAGATGCTATTCTAAGACTAATATATCCTAAAATGGAAAATGGTCGTGGGGTGGTACTATGGCTTGTAACGGAAAAATTGATAAGTGTCATAGTAGACAGCTTAGTAACATGGATGTTAGTATCTTCATTTACTCAAGCGGTTAATGCAGTGAATATTGGGGTTTGATTCCCCTATTGGAGATTATAGCTTCCATCATTTCCTTTTATCCCATTGGTCCTGCTTTCCCTTCCCTCATCTGTTCTCTACATTCTTGCATGATCTAAGCAACAACGCAGGACATCATGCGTGTTTATACAATTCCAATTTTTGGTGTCGCTGTGAGTATCTTGTTGGAGACATGCAGGGGTGAGCTGTCTTACTATATGTTTAATAGTTGGGTTGAGGCGTAGCGCGGGCATTGTCATGTTTCGTATGCGTAGCATGTTGCGCAGCTTGCCGAGCGTAGTTCGTGGCAGGTGCGCGCCACTGCATCAAGTTCGCACGCACGTGGGGATTTTCGGCGGCGCAACGATAGCCATGTGCGCAAACGCATATTTCATGGGTGTATTTTTAGGTAGCGCTATGTTTGAACATGGTGCGTTCGTTCAGGTTTGCTTTGAAGGACGAGTAAGGTACTCAATGGGTTGGGCGAGGGAGTTTGGCCGAGAGCAAACTGATGGCCTTGGCCCTTACAGCTGCCAATTACTTGACACTTGACATTTCAAACAATGACAAGCTTGGCGCTGGTATGTGCTCAGGTTTCTTGGAGACATATACTCCAGCAAGCCAAGTATGCATACACGCGGCGATGAGTTCTCTCCTAACAGACCTCTCGGCCTATTACGGACGGAGGCGCTAGCTTTTGCGACGATGCCATGAATCTCTCAATCCAGAGGATACCTTTTTGAACCCACCACGATTATGCACCAACTGGTGTCATTGCCTTACCTGAATGAAAACATGATATCTGTCTTTGGCTGCTTGATCCCGATATCGCAATGATCAAAGTCCGATGCGCAAAGTCCGACAAGCACTACACGGTTAGGCTTACGCCCAGTCCGAACGCTAGACGCAAGATGTGAGAAACTAGTATTGGTAACACGGCGCAGATTGGCAGTCGGAGTCTGTACACTGCATACGAGCATACTCAAGCCCTTGGGTTGTGTGTGCCAATGCAAGTATGGCCGAGCCGCTGTCTTTTGCGATAACGAGGAGACGCGAATGCTCAGCTGGAAGCGGAGGCTGAAATGGGTCCAAGAGGTCCACGTCGCAGTACTCGTCACTATTGATTGCTTGTCATCTTTGGAATGTGGCGGGAGGTGTTTGGTGGCTTGTATATCATCTCTTTATAATCTGGCTGCCGTCACATGAACGTGATATCGGGTCCTTACCAGGTGTAAACTCAGCAATCACTATACAGTGCTTGTTTCTTGTCTTTCGTTTTTCCTTGCAATACAACTATGTTTATATCTCCAACAATTCTCACTAGTAAATTGTTTGTTTGGTTATGTCTTTTCATCGTCGGATCTCCGTTTATCCTTTGGTATCGTGGGTCAATGGAAGGTTTCTCAGTCCCATACCCACGACCACCATCGCGACCAGTCCCCCAGTTTTTCGCTCATGGTGACTCGAAATGTCTACCAAAGGTATTGCCTAAGTTCATTCAAGCAGCAACGGTCAAACGGGCAAAGTGTCGGAAATATTCACCCTTTGCCAGTGCAAGATCACGCATCGGAATTGTTACTGCGCATTTTGGCGAGGCCAAGGAGCATTACCAAATGGCGTTTCAAACACATTTGTTCCACTCTATGGTCCACGGAACAGAAGTCCGGGTCATGTGCGACCCTATTGTCGACGACTTGTGGAACAAGCCAGCCTACATCTTGAACCTTCTCTTTCGCGAGATGATGAAGCCAGAGAAGGAACGTCTTGAATGGATTCAATGGGTGGACCGTGATACTCTTATTCTCGACCAATGCCGGCCCATCTCGAGCTTCCTGCCGCCCGAGAGGGGACGCTACGATTCGTGGTGGCGTGGTGGCGACGAACAAAAGGAGGGGCAACAACCCCAAGCAAATACGACACACTTACTCGTAACCGAAGACTGGAACGGTCTCAACAATGGGGTGTTCCTTCTTCGCGTAAACAGTTGGGCGATTGAGCTCTTCACCGCTATCCTTGCTTTCCGGCACTATAAGCCTGAGGTCGACCTCCCATTCACCGAGCAATCCGCCATGGAACAGGTTCTTCGTACAGAACAGTTTAGGCATCAAACAAGATATGTACCCCAGCATTGGTTTAATGCATACGAAGGGGGTGCAGCACAAACGTTTGAGGATCGAAAGGATGAGGAGGGGTTAAAGCAGTTCCAGGCCAGGAGAGGCGACTATTTGGTGCATTTTGCGGGGCACAGCAGGAAGGATCAAGCGATACGAGATTGGAAGAGCATGCTGGATCAGAGCGGAGACATCTGGGAGGAGAATAGAGTTCAGAGAGACGTGTCACAAGAGGTTGGGACCTTCTGGAAAGGTTTAGGGTACGGACGGTAGGGTTGGGTTCATGCGTAGCAATTTTGTGTTTGAGGAATACCAAGAGAATTTTCGTAATTTCCAAACCATGTTTTTGTTAGTCAAGTGAACTAGCAGATGCATTAAGCACGAAGATGTTTGATGATAGGTGGGCGATTTCTCCGTGGGCAGGAAGATGGCTCCAATTCGGTTCAGGCACCAAAGCTTGTACATCTTCTGGAAGAATGGAAGGTCTACATTGGGACCGATGTCCGCTCGCAGCTGCGCTACTGCAAGGCTCAGGTACTGACAAAGGGCTACGGTTGGCCCTTCCAATAGCAATTGATCAGGTATCACGGCAGTCGACTCTCAAGCGCAGGGCAAGCCCGACTTGTAGCGAGCGTCGGGATAAGTATAGAAAAAAGGTAGCTTTACCGACGATGGATTGGAGGTGGTGGTGTTAGCGCGGTGCATTGGAGGCCTAAGGGTTCTCGCTGCACACGATCAATATCGAAGGCATGGGGACTGTGCTGACATCAGACATGTGAACAGGATAATGCAGTCGAGTCTAGTGCAGCCACATGCAATCGGCTAGTATTTTCTTTCTTCGATTATGTGCTGGAGCCGAGGATGCGGAGAGGAATAGAAGGAAGTGTCGCTGACAGTGGGTATCCGCGGAGTGCCATGTGGTAAACTTGTTTAGCGAGAAGCATGTGAGAGAATGAAGCGGGAGAGCGCAATATAAGTGGAACTGCGTTATTATCTGATGGCGTGACGAGTCGTGGGCGATGTTCAGCATGGAGTCGGTCATGTTTTGGAGAGGGTGATTGGGGTAGCAGTGGTCTGGCGCTCTGTTCATGCGATTTCACTAGTCCATACACAAAAGCTGTTCAGCTTGATGGCGCCGCGCTAGTTCCGCTTACGGCCGCGGGCCGTCTTCTGGAGACAGATGGCAGTGCCGTCTGAACCGTCGACTCCCTCGCTGCTCGTCACAGCTAGACGCTGTCGCCAAAGCTTCCCCCAAAATCTGTCGCCGAGTCGAGGATACACGCCACCAGATAAACCTGGGGGTGGATTGGCTTCATCCCTATACATACATACATGCATACTACAGCTCCGCATCCTCGACTGTTTTTACACCCACCTGGGCCCTGCATTGCCTCTTCGAGAAAGCACCGAGGCAGTGCCGCATGAACCACCGAAGAAGCACCACCATCACCACCATTACTGCACACCCAATCTTGTAATTGACTTTGCTCCTCGTGGATTATCCAGTTACTTTGTATTTAGGGCTAACCGCTCCCCCGCCACCACCCGTATTGGAGACCTCAGTTTTGGGTCGAGGCTGTCAGACGAGCGCTACTGTCGGTCCCATCAGTCCCAACGGTGAATATCCACCTTGGACTCGGGTCCCTCGTGCAGATCATCCCAAGCACACATCTCTACCGAATTTGGCCCTTGCAGCTCGTTCGGTGCTTTAGCACATGGTTTTTTGGGTCCGGGGGGACTTCCATCTCTAAGCGATCCCTTGCCAACTGCATCCACCCATCTCTTCGACTCAGGACACCGCGCCCACTCCCCCAGACTTCGAGAGCGACAAGCCCACTCCGATACCCCAGAGCGACACTTCCCCAGGCAACTTCCGAGAGCACCCCCAAATCCATTTCCTGATCATCGCAGAGAATCCCATGTCAACGAGTAACACTGATTGCATGCCGAGTTCACATAAGGGTCAAGAGATAGCGCACAGCTTGCTGACCTAGCCCTTGGTAAACCACCTACGGCTGACGTTCCCAACACCTCGTGGCGTCTTTCGCCACCCAGTTCCTGATTTCACTACAACTTCTGCAGTATACGTACCATACTCTACATACCCACTCATTCCCGTCAACCCAAGACGAGCGCCCAGAGCGATTCGCGCCGTGCGGCTAGCCCTACGCCCTCCCCCGGCTCAGACTGCAGCGCCCGCGACAACTTCGGCGCTTTGGCGACGCCATCTCAGGCCCCATGTCGCCATCCATACTCCAGCCAGAGGCTGGAATATTCTATGGCATATGCTGGCTCGTCGTCATAGTCCGCCTGATTTCACGAAGGCTGCATCTTGGATCATGGAAGTCTTTACAACTCGACGACTATTTGATTCTTGTTGCCATGGTTTGTCACCCGCGGTCCTAAGCTGCGCAACCAAAGATGCTGAACTACAACCAGGCCACGGATACGGTGCTCATCAGCATCATGCACCAGGTCGCCAAAACCAGCAGCAACTTGATACCACCTGGTGACGATATCTCGCAATATACTCAAGCCGAGATCAACACTCGTATTTATGGCTCCAAGCTGGTCTTGGTAGTAGAACAGATGCAGATCCTCACAATCTGGCTCATCAAGGCCTGCCTCCTCATCATGTACAACCGCATGACTTTGGTCTTGCCGCAACATAAGACTGTTGTTGCCACTTCCGTCTATGTCGCTGTATCGTTTGTTGTCATGGAGGTGTTGTACCTTGGTGTGTGGTGCAGGCCGTTCAACCAGTACTGGGCAGTCCCTCCAAGCTCAAGTAAGCATATTGCAGGCACTCAGTTGTATGGCGCTTATTATTGCAGAACAATGCTCCGCCGCAACGAACCATCTCATCACGAATGCCGTGTTCAACATTTCCAGCGATTTAATCATCATCTGCATACCCATGCCGCTTCTGTTCAAAGTGCGCTTGCCAATGAAGAACAAGATCATCTTGGGCCTAATCTTTTGCATTGGAACTTTTACCATTGTCGCTGCTGCCCTCAACAAGTACTATTCCTTCACACATCCTTTTGGAAATGAGTGGACAATCTGGTACTTGCGAGAGTCGTACACTGCCATTCTCTGTGCAAACCTTCCACTGACCTACCCACTCATCCAACGCATCTTCGGCCTTCGCAACTGGAGCTCCAACACGTACGATTCCTCAAATGCTTACGGCCGTTCCACCATCCAACCACAGCCGTCCTCGATACGTCGTCCCGACGCGTCTTGGTCGGAACCGACGCCACAACAGATACCTCGAGGGTTTAGGGATATTTTCCGGAAGACAGAGAGCCAAGAGGACATAAATGGTGGCTTGGGGAAGCAAAAAGAGGAACGCGACCCGGAGTTCATCACAAGCGCCATTGAGATGGAAGACGCGCAGTCGCATCGGGCGTCCAGCGTGGGCGGCCCTGGGAGCTGGCGGACCTCTCGCAGCATGGAGGACAGAAACAAGAGCCCGGAAACATTTCACCCTGTTTGAATGATGCCATGACCTTTATTAACAAAAATTATTCTTATTCACATTTTCGCTTTGCCAAGTTTCGTATTGACCTCGATTGCAGCAGGGCCACGAACAAGCCAAGAACTCTAGACTCACCTGGAGGAGTAGAGATCTTCCTGGCCTGTTACTTGGTGGTCTTGTGTCTTCGTCATTGCGTCGTGCTTGTTCCTGGAGCACCGTGATGGACGTGCCTGATGGGGAACCCTAGCCATCACGGTACACAGGTACTCACGCGATACATGAGCTCGAAGAGCTCTTTAATAATCTATAGAGCCTCTCCATTAACAATATTTCTCATCATTAGATTGCTGGAAGCCTATAGGTCATGATACCATGCACATCCACGACGTTCTGATTGTCGGCGCTGGCCCAGCTGGTCTAGCGGCTGCAGCACGTCTCCGCGAACATACACCATCAGCGACCTTTACCGATGATGAACACCAGAGATACCACTGGATAAAGAAGCATGGTCGAAAGATGAACATCAAGAACTACCGAAAGAACAAGGACTCGTTGCCAACGCCACCTTCAACACCATCTAATTCGGACTGTGGATGCGAGCATCAGAAATCGTCAGAAGAAGCAATAGACATGCTAGTTCTTGATGCCGATGGAGCAGACTGGATGTCCAAGTGGAAGCGACTCTTCAAAACATTCCACATCGACTACCTTCGCAGCCCAATGTTCTTCCACGTCGATCCCGCTGACCGAGACGGGCTGCTCGCATACACGTACGAACAAGAAAGGGACAAGGACATTATGGCTCTGCCTAACATTGCGGGCAAAGAAGTCAGCAAGCACAAGAAAAAGAAGAAGCTAAAGCAAGGAAGGTTTCTCGGTGGGACACCCGACGTGGACGAGAGAGATCGAAAAGACTATTTTACGCCAAAGACGGATTTGTTCTATGCGCACTGCAACGAGGTGGTGCGGCGGTATCGCCTTGGCAGCGATATGATCCGTCAAGAAAGCGTGACTGATATAGAATACGGAGAGATAGCAAAGTTCGCGGATACTGAGCACGATAGCGTTATATCGGATGATGGCTCGGAAGACGACCGGATGATATTTCGTGTGGCGACGGACAAAGGCGTCCGCTTTGCTCACGTAGTCATCCTCGCCGTTGGCCCTGGGAACACCCCATCGCTACCCCCTGTGCCTGGCCTACCCAGTGAACGCCTACATGAAGGTTTCTCCCACGCCATGCAGATCAAGCAGTTCCCTGCGCCACACGTCGTCGCCAAGATCCAGGCTCGGCAAAACACCAGCCTGCTTATCATTGGAGGCGGCCTGACGAGCATTCAGCTAGCCGATCTCGCCCTCAAGCGAGGTGTAAATAAAGTTTGGATGCTGATGCGTGGACCGCTCAAGGTAAAGTATTTTGACATTGACTTGGATTGGGTCGGCAAATTCCGGAACTTCAACCAAGCTGCATTTTGGACCGCGGACACAGACGAAGGTAAGCATCCGTTACCACATTGTGTGAGAGTTGCAAGGCTAACATGTTTCCTTTTTTCTTTTTTCTAGAGCGATGGGAAATGATCATGGTTGCCCGAAACGGCGGCAGCATGACACCCCGGTACCGTCGAATTCTCGACACGCACATTGCCAATGGGAGGATTGCTCTACACACGCACACAACGCTCGCATCGGTATCTTGGGACCCTTGTTTCAAGACTTGGTCGTGCGAGACGTCGTCGTCGCAAGTTAGTCTTCCACCGATTGACTACGTTGTATTTGCCACGGGCATTCAGTCGGATATCCGCACCATACCTTTTCTGCAGACAATCCAGAAACAGCATCCGATCAAGTATGTTGGCGGCTTGCCTTGTCTCACTGAAGATATGATGTGGAACGATGACGTACCGCTCTTTGTTACGGGGCGGCTTGCTGGACTGCGACTAGGGCCTGGAGCGCCGAATTTGGTCGGTGCCCGAATTGGCGCAGAGAGGATCGCATGGAATGTGGAGGATGTTTTGAAGGGGTTGGGCAGGTCGCGACGTGATGTGCGTGATCAGAGCGTTAGTGAGGATGGAAATGAGGATATGGAGTCGTATGCTGCGGCTAGAGATAATCGGTTTAGTAGTTTAGTTGCGATGGATGAGTGATACATAGGCTTTGGTTAGTCCCAATCGCACTACATAATTTCCAGCTCGAAAAGCGCTCTGTATAAACTGCATTCCAAGCTTGGAAACAAGAGGACATATGTATTTGACGTTGACCCATTCGGGTAATTGATGCTTCTGGAAACCTCCCAAATCAAGAAACCACTGCGATCATCCAATTATCGGGCCTCGGGAAATATCGCTTTGGTATTGCCGCCGCTGCGTCATCCGATGCCGTTCGATTCGGCTAAGTGTAAAGCCAATCGGTTGGCCGGATTTCCTTCCCTTGGCCTTGCATTTCTTCCTAACCCGCAAACCATCACCCGCGCATTCATCTAATTAGACAAGAAAACGCCCAAAAAAACCCCTCCCAACCACACAAATGGTTTCCGGCGGCAATGCAAGTTCCCTCTCCTACTAGCTGCAATAGGCGGCAAGCAAGTTGATTCAGACTAACTCACTCGACTAGGACGACAATATACCAGCGGTAGTTTCGCTCGCAGCCGGTGGTGTTGCTGGCGGTGTGGAAGGCTTTCTCTCGGTAATAACAACCCAATTTGCGCTTAAACTCCGACATGCTCCGTGACTTACACCGTCTGCTCTTTTTGCTCTGTTCTTGTAGTATCCGCTTGAATTCGCAAAGACAAGAGTGCAGCTGAGGGCTGAGAAGGGGGTGCCGACGCCCAGGAACCCGTTTTTGGTGATTACGCAGATATATCAGCAGGAGGGTATTCGGGCGTTGTACAAGGGGTGTGGAGCGCTGGTGTTTGTAAGTGTTGCTGTCTCTCCTCTTTTTTGATTCACTGATGCATCGAGTATGATGCAATTGCTGGTTCTGTTTAACCTCATGTCTCTTCATTCTATACGCACGACAAGGCGTATGTGGTTACAACTCCCCAACACACAACACCCTGCATACGTATCTACAAGACCAACATAACCCCAGGGCTCCGTCGGAAAAGATGGCGTCCGCTTCCTCTTCTTCGATCAAATCAAGGCATCCTTCGCCGACCCGGAAACAGGTAATCTTTCTCCCGTGCGCAACCTCCTCGCCGGCATGGCCGCCGGAGTCGTCGCATCCATAACCGCAGTGACGCCCACGGAACGTATCAAAACCGCCCTGATAGACGACGCCAGGACGGAAAAGCGGTTCCGCTCCGGTCTGCATGCTACTACGACTATCTGGAAAGAGCACGGAATTCTAGGTCTCTACCGCGGATTCGCCGGTACCACGCTCAAACAGGCATCCGCGACGGCGTTCCGATTGGGAACGTATAATATCCTCAAAGACTATGAAAAGAAGAGGAATATTGAGCAAAACACTGCGGTTAACTTTGCAAACGGATCCGTAGCAGGGGTTGTGACTACGCTTTCCACACAGCCATTTGACGTCATCAAGACGCGGTCGCAGAGCGCAAAGGGAACGAGCACCGCCGAAGCCGTCAAGAGTGTTTTACTCGACTATGGCGTTCGCGGATTCTGGAAGGGCACGACGATGAGGCTAGGTCGCACCGTGTTCAGCGGCGGCATATTATTCACGAGCTACGAAGCCGCTGTCAAGATCATTCTGCCGTTGTATCCTGGCGCGAGACAGGCCCAGACCGCATAAGATACCTACTACGTACCTAATCTACTTAGACCAAGACCAAAAAAAATAGAATCTATACCTTCCTAGCCTAAATACTCACAGGAAGCTACTACGCTAGCTACGCCCTCTCATCGTACTCATCAATAACACTGACAGGCTTCACAAACCTGCCGAGCGGCTTATACTCCAAATGCCCCAGCCCAAACGCCTTGGGCCCCCCAATCTCAATCCCCCGTTCGCTCGTCCACCGCTCACTCGCCGTAACCCCAATCACAGAAACAAGCAACCCGTACCGGTACTCGGGCGTCCCAATCGCCTCGCCATTCTGCGCATCAATCACAGCAATAAGATCCGGCACAATCGCCAGCACATCCTCATTCCGTTCCTCTCCAGTCGCGCGGTCCCCCTCTTCCGGAACCCGGAGTGCCGCAATGTTTTCGTTTTTGAAAGGAATCTTGATGCGCCCCGTGAATTCCGGGGTGGTGCTTTGAATCACAACCTCACCGTACACATGCCCCATGTGTAGTTTCCGACTGACACCCACGATCTTGCCTTTGAAAAGCACGCTGCCCGTCTCCGCACCGCCAATTGCATCGATAATGCTTTCGGCGACGGTATCGATGCGATTCTCCTTTCGCGCCCTCGCAACTTCACGACCGATCCGCCACGAAAGCGACACCGTATGCTCGACGGCCCAGCGCCTCGTTTCCTCCCCAGTAACAGGCGCATCGGCGGTCCCCACCGCACTCCCCATCTGGCTGAGCGCGGCACGAATCACTTGCTCGACTTTGAGGTCGCTCGCCGCGGTGGGCATGTAGAGCGTGTTTCCGTTTCCGTCGGCGACAGCCACCGGGGCGAAGACGATGGGGCGCTCGCCGAAGACGACGGGGGTTGTTTGCCATTTTGTGGGGTAGGCGCGGCCCATCCAGTCGCCGTCGATGCAGGGCACGTTCATGTTGGAGGAGGCGCCGAGGACGAGGCCTTGGAGGCCGTTTGAGCCGCCGATTTCGAGGGGGATGATGTGGGTGGCGGAGTTGCCGGGGTTGAGGTTGCGAAGGGTGGTTTGGGCGTCCATCATTCTGGGGTGTTTTGTTAGTTTTTTTGTTCTTTCTTTCTTTGACTTGGTGGTGGAGATTGGAGGAGGAGTGAAAGACTTACTCATCTGCGGAGAGCTTTTCAATGCCTACGGTTGGACTGCCGGCTCCGCCTCCGCTGCCTACGAGAGCATCGTCTGCTAGGTCGTCAGGGTTGACGACGCGGACTGTGTGGCCTGAGCGAAGTATTCCTCGGACTCGAAGCATGGTTGAGTAAGGGGATCCGCCGCCACCAGTACCCAAGATATAGCATCCGGTTGTGATCCATGCAAGATCTGTTTCTGAGATCCACCATTCGCGGTTCTTGACGTTGGGTTTATACGTATCAATGTCGACTTCCGTCACAGCATCGGCTTCGTCTGTGTTTTCTTCGGTTGAAGGCGCAGCAATGGTAGCGCCAGTGTCTTCCAGACTGGTTTCTGACTCTTCTCCATCTTTAGTCACATCCAAGTCTGAAAAGTCGCCTGCACGGGAAAAGTCAAAGTCGCCAGCGGCTCGCACCATGAAGCGAGTCTTGTTAGCCACATACTGCAAGGGCAGATCTTCTACTTCCACAATTGCAACTGTATCCACTGAGCCGCCTGCTTCAATTGTCTTTTTCTTGGCTTCAGCGCAGATTTCTTCTAGAAGCTCCTTTTGTGATTGCTTTTCCGTCGACTTGACAGTATCGATGACGGCACTAACACGTGCCATTGCAGCACCAATTGCATTGGCTACGCCCGACCATCGAGGCTTGATCACCCTGCTTGCACCTTTGAGCTCATCAGGTGCTATGACTGCGCCGCCACCAACTAGAAGAACAGGAAGGTCCTCCGGCGACGTCTTCATGGTATCAATGATACTCTCAAGCATGCGCTTTGTCTCCGTCTTGAAAGCCTGTACATCCTCCTCTTGAAGCTTCCCTCGCACCTTGTCCGGCTCGCCGATAGCAACATCAGACGATGCCGCAACAATGTAATCGGTCGCCGTTGCAACACTACCCCCGAACACAAGTGCCTTCTCCGGTAACTTGTAGCCCACGGATTCTGGTCCAACTTGCATTTTCCCCTCGACTCTCCGCACCAGACTGCCGCCTCCCAACCCGATACTCTTAACATCGGGATACGAAAAGTTCATTCGCACGCCCGATAGTTCAGAGTATGCGGCTTGCTGTCTGGGGAAGCCGTTGGCAAGTAGTAAGCCCACGTCTGTAGTGGTGCCACCAACATCAACGACCATCATTGCTTCTTTTTCTTGCTTTCCCATTAGAAAAGCCGCTCCGCGCATGCTGTTTGTCGGGCCGGACGAAAACGTGCGGATGGGCAATTGACTTGCTGCTTTACCACTGAGTATCGTGCCATCATTCTGCGTGATGAACACAGGGCAGTTAAGTCCCAATTTCTTGACTGGCGTCTGAAACGACGCGATTGTCTTTCTCGCAAAACTCAGAATCGAGGCATTCAGTATCGCAGCGTTTTCGCGCTCCAAGAACCCGAGATTGGCTACTGTCTTGCTGAGTACAATGTCGACGTCGTTGCCGAGTTCGCGTTTGATGATTTCGGAGGCGCGTTCTTCTTGCTTGTCGATTGTGTCGATGGGACTGAAGACGCCGTTTACGACTATGCTTTTGATTCCTTTTTCTTTGATAATACGGCATTGCTCGATGATTTCCTCCTCTTTGATGTCCGAGATGAGGCTGCCGTCGACTTCCAATCCGCCCTTGAGGAGTGCGTAGTGTCCGAGGATGATGTTGCGTAGGGAGGTGGGCCAGTCAACACAGGGTGGTGCGTGCTTACTGAATGGGCCGCAGAGACGGATTACAGCAACACGGGAGAGGCGTGTTCGATCTCGAGTCACGACTGCGTTGACAAAGTGAGTTGTTCCTATTGTCACACTGGCTACGGACGCTGGGTCCACGGACGCGGACTTGAACATTGTCGTGATGGCATTGGCGATTCCATGGCTGGGATCTGTTGTTGTTGGTGCCTTGTGCCTGGTGGTATCTGTGAGCTCTCCTGTTATCCTATATAGAATGACTTGGCTGTCCTGACTCAGGTATGTATCCTAAAGTCAGTGCATAAGGGTGGGATGCCAAGCGAGTTGATTCGATGAGCGTAACAAAGGAGAAGAAATATTACCAAGCAACAATCCCACGATCCTCATCATTAGACTTAGTCGGATCAATGATGACTCCATCTGTATTCGTACTACAAAGCAATCGTCAGTTTCGCGATACAGCTACATTCTCTGTGTAGCCACGTAGCTCACCCGCCAACGTCAACACCAATTCGCAGATTCTTCATTGCAGCCATGGCAAACAGCAAGACTCGTCTTTAGAGAAAAGCAGACAAAATTCAAACGGTGCAAAAACCACAATGAATGCTGTCAAATCACTTCAATTCTGACGTGACACTGCTCGCATCTGATAAGATGTGGATTCGTGTTGGCGGGGCAGACCAACCCTGACCACATAGTAGCCCCGAAGTCGCACCTTGATCGTATTCGATTGCACAAAAAGGTCGCTTTTCTGCCACCCCACCCTCATGCATCTCCAATTCACCTCTCCACTCTCCAAACTATCTCCAAATATATACCGAATAGACTCAATTCTAGGTACTCGCCATCGTTGCATGCAACCAGTCTCCTCTGTCGCTGCTCTGTGACCAAACGGCTGTTTGCCAAAGTATCGTGTGTGCCCCTCCAACCCCATCTGCCGATCTTTTACTACATGTACATCGCTCGGATAAGAAGAACCCCTCCTTTCCCCCCAAATACCCAATGCCACGTGCACTCCGGAAGCGATTATCAACCTATCTCCGCTCCTTCCTCCCCCAATCGTGCCTTTTTCTGGGGATAACGAGCATGGATGCGATATTAACATGGTTTTTGAGGATTCGGATACCCCAGGGCCATTAGTTACATTCTAAAGTGGTATTCAGATACTTATGCAGCGTGCAATTGTTTAATGCAGCCGAGTTATCACTGTTACAAACTTGCATACGCTCCTGTTATTATAGCTGTGCATACGCACTCTTCAGCTCTTGAAATCACGCAGGTATCATGTAATGCGAGCAAAACAAGCTTTCCATTAGTCCTCAACCCACACTCTGGACACCCAGCCATTCCCGCACAATCGCGCTAATCGCCACGGTACGCGCCGCCCAACCTCTGTCTAGATAGTGCTTCCCCCTATCCCCGCTGAAGTATATACGAGACGCCACTGCACAAGGGCCTCGGCGCCGAGCCCTCTGGGTCCTGCAAGATAAACACCTTATACCTTTCATTCTTGTTTTGGATAAAAGATATGCGACTCAGCTGTTCCTCTTCAGCTGTCCCTCTTCAGCTATCCCTTTTCAGCTTTCCCTCTTCAGCTTTCCCTCCTCACAACTCCCCTCTCCCTCTCCCCCCCTCCTTCCCATCTCCTCACTCTCCCATCTACCTATCCATCCATTTAATTTCCAAGTAGTCAAACGTGAAATAAAAAAGCAAATAAAAAACAATGACCTTAAAACATCGCATAACCTCCCTCCCCCAGACCCTCCGCCTCAAAGGCAACGAATCCAAACACGAACAAACAGACGCATGGAGCAACCGCGACTTGATCCCTTTACCACCTGAGCGCAGAACATGGGGTTGGTTCAATTTCTTCGGATACTGGTCCATTGGATCGCTGAATCTTGCGAATTGGCAGACGCCTAGCACCTTCTTAGGTACCTTTTACCCTTCCTTTCCCCCTCAAAGAAAGAAAAAAACAATCAAAATTGAACAATGGGAATAACAATGATAATAAATCGCTAATATCGGTTATTGCGAGATAAACAGCCATGGGTCTTTCCGTCCCACAAGCCATGCTCATCATAGTCGTTAGTCGCATTCTGATCGCTGGTTTCTCGACGCTGATAGCGTGGATTGGGTTGAAGTGGCATATTGGTTTCACGGTGCAGAATCGGTATAGTTGGGGGTTGAGGGGCAGTTTTATACCGCTTTTGCAGCGGATTATGTTGAATTTTATTTGGAATGCGGTTCAGTGTAAGTTCCTCTCTTATCATTTCGAGTCCCAAGTGCTGTTAGCGGGAGCTGTATGTCATTTATTCGAACTTTGGGGTTAATATGGGATTTGTAGGCTGGAATGGCGGTCGTCTTGTCGCCGTGTGTCTGACGGCCATCTGGCCGTCGTATGCACGCATGCCGAATACGTTTAGTCCGAATTTCCCGACTACAACCGAGCAATTCGTTGGCTTCGTTGTTTTCTGGTTCCTTTCCACGCCGTTCTTGTGGCTGCGACCGGAAAAATTCAAGATCCCCTTCCTCATCGTATGTACATGGTGCGGCGTCGGCATGCTGGCATGGATGATCTGGGCTCTGGCTACCGCAAAAGGCGTAGGTCCATTATGGAATTCTGGCCAAAACGTACCTGCAAACTCGGAATGGAATACCTCGTGGCTCATCATGGCGGGGATTAATCAGAGCATCGGCGGTTTGGCGGCGGGGATTACCAACGGAAGTGACTTCTCGCGGTATGCACGTAGAAGAAGGTCCTACCTCTGGGGTACTTTTGGCAGCTGCTTAGTTACAGGTGTGCTAGTCTCCCTCATTGGCCTCGTTACTGCTGCTGCCGGACAAAAGATTTACGGCGAGGTATATTGGAACCCGCCGGATCTACTCATACGCATCATGGACAACGGAAACGGGTCGTCGCGATCCCGCGCAGGTGTCTTTTTCCTTTCTGCTGGCTTCGCTTTCACCGCCATGTTTGAGAACATTTGTGGTAATGCCGTTGCTGGCGGCATTGATCTCGCTGGTCTGTTTCCCCGATACATTGATATTCGACGCGGCGCTATCATCACCTTTGTGGCTGCATGGATTGTTCAGCCTTGGCAACTGATCAATCGCGCTACTACTTTTATTGCGGTGCTGTCATCGTTTTCGGTTTTCCTGGCTCCGATTATAGGCATCATGGCTTGCGACTATTATATTCTGAGGAAGAGAAGGATCCGCCTGACGCATTTGTATCGAACAGAAATGTCCGAATACTACTTCACCAAGGGATTCAACTGGCGTACCATACCGGCGTGGCTGTGCGGATGGGCTCCTACAATTGGAGGGCTGGTCGTGACGGTGAGGGGAGATGCAAAGCCACCACGGGCTTTGGTGGAACTTTACTACATGGCCTTCTTGATTGGTGAGTGACATTCCGCAATAATACTGGGAATAGCCACAATCGACTGACAGTCGTCTAGGTTTCTGCATCAGTGGTGTTCTGTTCTATCTGCTAAACGTCTTCTTCCCTGTTGCCGATATGGGCCAGATGGATCCCATCGATGTATACGGTACCTTTACCTTGGCTGAAGCAAGAAGAGTGGGTGTCACGCCACTCGATGACAGCACAATAGTCGGAGAAGCGCTCGCGAGAGGATCGTCGGGTAACGATTATAACTCCAAGGAAAAGGACGTAGAAGTGGGTGTTACAGGTTGATTGGTGGATTACCCAATGATCGTAGTTGTACTGGTTTCTGTAATGGCCACAGTTAGTCTCACTATCAAAGAGTCTGAAGTCCCCCAGCATGACGTACGCGCTTTGTCTCGATTTGGAATAAGTCCTAGTGCTGCTGTACACTGGACCCTTGACTAGAGACTTCCTTCCCCTTGTTCCTGAACGGTCAATGCAATTATCTTGTCATTTTCTGGACAAGATCCAGATTGGAATAGTGATTGCACACCGGAATTCAAAGCATACCACAATAGCTTCTGTTGAGTAGATACAAGGGGAGCAGAATGTAGACCCGCTTTCAGTTTTCGTGTGTGCTGAAATCTTGTCTTTCTTTATTCATGCTGTTTCCTATGATAACGAATAACGACTAGAGCAGCCAAAATAGGTTTAATCCATTGTCGATTAGCGCAGTATGCAGAGAGTCCGGGATAATCCTAACAAAAGACGACGTTAATCAACCCAAGAGCCCATTGTGACCATCAAAAATGACTCTAGAAACTACCGAACAAACTGCCGTCTGGTACTCGAGCACTGACATTAGTCTTGCCAATATTGTCAGATGACGCGACAAGACACAACATAGCGTAGCAGTTGCAAGCTTGTTACGTCATCGATTCCAGTAGGGCCGAGTGAAAGAACAACTAGACTTGGCACCCTTTTTAAAAAGAGCCTCAAACCCAAGCAAGATAAAGTAAGCTTCCTTCACTTTACCGAAAAAAAAGCCTTGGAAAAAATTAAAACCCCACCATGGCACCAGGAGACAATCTCCCCGATTTCCACACCAATACCCCTCTTGATCCTACCTTTGAAAAGGACATTCTGGACACGCACCTAATCTACGACTACGACGCGCAGGATAGCAACGGCAAGCCGGAGAAATGGCGGTATGAAATGTGGTTCTTCTCGTCTGACCGGATTGTGTATGCTGTCCACGGGGGGCCCATGGCAGGCCGGAGAAACTATCAACGAGCAACATACCAATGCATACGTCCTGGAGAGCTCTGGCAAATCAATTGGCTTGAGGAGACTGGTACTGTGATCTCTGTAGTCTACGACATCAAGGAAAAGACGATGACGACAATGATTGCATTTTCAGAGGGCCATTGGAAGAGGTCCAAGGAGGCGTTGGGTGACAAGAGGAACAAGGAAGATCTGGAAAGGTGGAAGGGGTTGGCGGATGTGGGAAATCAGATGTCAAGATTTATGTTGAGTGAACAGGGGCATATAGTAGAGACATTCAAGGGGAAGGGAAAGTTGGTGCCGATTAAGGAGAGTGATCCGCTGTTTTAAGTCGCTCTGGTGGTACGTTAAGTGGTGGGCGATAAGTTTTGTGAGTACCGGACGTGTTGCTAGATTCTCATTTTCGTTAGATAAACGTAGCTGGGGAGCAAAGCGCATATCCAAGGTGTAAAGTCGGGGTACCCGAGGTCAGTCGGCGACTGCTGGTGTCGCGATCAAGATTTACGTATCCTGTGCTGCAGGGGGAAATGTAACCTTGTATAAGGTGCTGTGTAGCACGGACGAGGTACCACGATACAATGAAAGCAGTGAGCCCTGTTGGGAGTATTCGGCGACCATTTCGGGGACCAGTTTGCAGAGCAGAGGACAGGCGTGATACAATGACTGCATTGAACGGGTGGGAAGAGTGATTCGATGTGTTGCGAGGTCGCTTGGCGCCCGTGGGACGTGGAGCCAGCCACGGTTGAATTGAGGCTAAAGGCAAACCTGAATCCGATAGTGTGGTCAAGCCCACGTCCCAGCCACATGGTTCTCGTCGCCGTCTCGATCGCATCGCGTTCCCGTGCGAAGCGCCAAGCAGACTCTGAGCATGCAGCTTTTGCACTCAAAGTCAATATATATATACATACATACGTGATATGGACTCTCCGCGAGCGGGCCGTGAAGAGATGGGCCGACGGGGCCAGGAAGGCGTTGGTGGTGGCTGTCTGTGACGCGTACGTACGGCCAAGGGAAACCAGAGAAAGCGAGCCCGGCGTGCATACTCACTGCAAGTAGCAGATACGTACGTACGTGTACGTAAGTACAGGTAGGTACTGACGAGAGAGGGCAAGGCTAGCGAATGGTTTGTGCAAAGGACGCCATGCTGTCGATCCGCTGCCCCACGGTCCGTCAGAGGCTGCGAGGGAAAGCGAACTGGTAGAGGGGCCTGGCTCTTATCTTGCATCCGTCGCGGGAGCCGAGTGCAACGGCGGTGCCGACAGGGCCATGTGGGGTAGTGGGTGTGTAAGCGTGTCAGCTCTGGCGTGGCATGTACTCAGCGCAGCAAGGCGCCAAGGGGTGTCGAGGCCATGGCCATGGCCGTCACGGGATGCCAGCGTGTTCGGAGTCCGATGGGCGCTAGACAGTGGGTGTTGCGGGTGTTGGAGTGGTGGTTGTGGTGATGGTGTTGGGGCGGCCGGTGAGAGAAAGCTGTCAGGGCGCAGACAGAAGCGGCATATGGCGGCATGGCGGCATGGCGGCAGGGCAGCCCAAGGCAACGGCCGCATGACAGAGAGGGACAAGAATGGGGCCACGCCAATTTCCACCCGGCCTCAGCCTGGGGAGTCTTTTGCACAGTCTGTCTTGGGGCCAAGTGCGAAGACATGCAAGAGGATATGCAGGACAGCGCAGGACACGCAGGACACGCAGGACCCCCCGCCTTGCGCAGTGCAGGACAGTCTGGCGCAGCAGTCTGGATGCTCGTGTTACATTGACAATCAATCTCGTACTACCCCATCCGGCTAGACCCATGCGCCGCCTAGCCCATGCCACCGCAATTTGGCCCCAGGACGCCCCCGTGCCACAGCACCAAACGTCGGTATGACCAGGGCCCGCTACTCGCATACCTTCCCGGATGCTGCTCCATCAGCTGGTGCCAGCATGGAGCTAGCCAGCCATGATTATCTGCTTCAGCCCTCGGCCCTTCATGTCTTGCATGTCTTGCCCGCTCTCCCTCATGTCCTGCCCTACACCAGGTTGAAACACTGCACCGAAACTTGACACTCCCTCCAACCTGTCTGCCTGTCACGACCATACACACATACTACGCATACTACGCATACATTGTACCAACATCGCCCACAATGGGTCGCCCAGTCTTTACATCCCGCGACAACCTCCACCTACTCCGAAGCTCGGCCTTTGAATCCGAACATGCCTGGCTATACGACACTTCCTACATGCAACATGGAGCCGCTGCCTTGGAGCTGGAGCACGAAATAGAGCAGGCCTATTCAAGTATTTCGCCAGACGACCTCTCAGACGAACAAGTGCGAATCATCAAGACCCAGATCACCATCCACCGAGAGCGACAAAGAGCCCTGCGCCCGCACCTCGAAAGTGGCAGCGACCAGATCGACGAGGAGGGCAATGAATGCGTCTTTGTGCCCGCTCCAAACCAATGGGGAGCCAATGGCGACTTGGACGAGGAGAGCGAGACTCTCTCAGCAGTATGTAGCAGCCTGACTACGTACTATGTTTCTGTATATCCATGACTGACATGATCCAGATCCACAACCTCCTCACATGGCAGACTTCCTACTCACCAATCTCACATACACTGCACGATGAACTCCCCTCAACAAATATCCCCTACCATGCTCTTCTTGACCCATCTGTACCTACCACCACATTCCATCTGCACCGCACACGGGAATGGACCGGCTCGTCAGGCTTCAGAAAGTACATCTACAGTGCGCGCGACCACTCGGACAAGTACATGCTATACATGCTCGAGGCCACACATCGCGACGACAGCCAAGTAAACGCCGCAGACTTCTTCCGCGTCGCAGAGTTCCCCCAACCATGCATATCAGTCCTCCTTTCCGGTATCGACAAGAAGCGCATGACTACCGATTCTTCCAAAGACGCTGCTTACAAATCACGATGCATCCACCTCCGCGGCCCGTTCTCACAACCAGTCAAAGAGTACCCTGATAGACAGCAAAAGATTCCGTGGTCTCCGCGACGATTTACCTATGGTGGCCGACGCTTTGTTTGGAAGCAGGGGGATCCCAACGACGACGCTATGCCAGAGACATTGTATGAGTACCAGAAGGATTGGGCAAAGCCAGGCAGCAGGACGGGTAAGCGGTGCGACGACGCAAAGCCAATCAAGTTGGTGTGGGGAGAGAAGCGGAGAAAGGGAAAAGTCGATAGCTACACTATCCACTTCCGGGGAGGCATGGACCAGGTCTTTAGGGAGATCCTGCTAGCGAGCCAGATGGCCCGCCAAGTGTGTCTGTTCACGGCCATGGGCTGAGTTGATCTCAGCGCTGGGATCGACTGAGCTGAACTTGTTGAATGATGACGCTGGATTGTCTTAGCGATAGGCGTTTTACAGGAACCGTGAGGCACGGTATAGATACCATTACTCGGCGTTTTTAGAATTTTGCATGGAACCTTGGTTCCCACCACAATCAAAATGTATTCTATCCTCAAAGACTATGCAATATCCTGTTTCAAGTGACTTTCAGCGCAATATTGTTTGTAAGTACCTACGTAGGTATTGACAACGGCATAATCCGTCTGACTCATCCCCAATATCTCCGTTGGATCCAACAGAGGCGTTTACCGCAGCATCACTGCAGGTAAGCTACATGATTTGCGATGCCTGTAAATTGCACAGCAGCCTTGCTGACGCACTTGTAAAAAGGGCGCGGCTGCAACGGCTGGACGTGATTGGTGGCCTTGTGGACAGGGCATACGGGTGTATGGAAGATGTTCGATAAGCTTTGCATGAGATGACGGTGACCGGCTCATGGAACCCTCTTTAGACAAGCGACGGAAGTACGCGACGATGTATTTTACCGCCTTCATCGACGGCTGCACCAAGCGACCAACATGTCAGTAAGATGGGAAGGAGCAACTGCCCAATGCGTACGGCTTGATTGCATTTGTTTGCCATGCTCCATCTTACATACGCAGCTGGCAGAGTCCATAGGGGCGGACATCACTAAGTATGACTTCATTCATTGGTCTCTGCGTACCTACATCCATACAAACAATGAAGCCGTGGTCATGCCATTGCTCCCACCTGACCTCTGTTCTCAACACTACTGTTGGCCGGAACAGGCATACCCGAGGTCCTTTGTTCTAGCGGACCCCTACGTACTCCTTCGAGGACTATTCCCTTAGTAATAGCCGTCTTCTCTTGGCCCCAACAACTAAAATCTTACATACGTCTCCAGCCGACGCCCACCGCTTCGCCAAACAGCACCGACCGACTGTTAGCTCACCCACCAGACGGACCAACCGTCCCGCATATAAGCCACAACAGTCGTCGTGGGCCCAGTCATCGCTCAGGGCGCGTAGGGTTACATACCGCAGCGCCAGTCAAACGTACACCGACGCACAAGAGGTCCACGTGCAGCGCTTATCAGACGACTCTAAGCACACCACTACCACTACAACAACTAGTCGTACGGCTCCCCCATTCGCAGAAATACCCCTCAGCCATGTCGTCAAGTCGCAGCACCTCTCTACGCGAGGCGACACACTCCTTCTGCCACGCCCTCCTCTCACCTCCCCCGCCCTCAGACCTGCTGTCAAAGTACTTTAGCAACACGCCCAAGATCACAGAACACGGGCCTGAATGGGCACGATCGCGACTACCTTTTCTGGCCAAGACCTTTTCAGGAAAACAGGGCTGTGAGGAGTACTTCAAGCTTATGACTGATGTGCTGGACATGTCGCTCCCTAGTGACGCATTCCCGGGCAAAGAGGGGTTCATTGTAGATGCAGAGGCAGGCATGGTCAGCGTAGTTGGCAAGGGGCGGTTTGCTAGTAAGAAGACGGGAAAGGCATGGGATGAGCAGTTCATCCACAGGTTTAGTGAGTTTGATGAGCAAGGGAAGATTGGTCACTGGGAGATTTGGGCGGATCCGCTGAGTGCCTGGGAAGCTGTCGGCTCGTAAAGGTTAAAAGATGACGGTGGCAATTGCAACGGCTTATGGTGCTGAAACTTGCCAGCATGACGAACATGGTAAACGACTCTATACAGAATTCAATAGTCAGATTGACTAGACTTCGATGCATATGAACGGATCGCGGAGTCCAATGCCGTTAGCGCCTCGCTTCGTAAATGTGGACCCCATCGGCATCTTCTGCACCTAACCTCCGAACCCTTCAACTTTTCTTCATTCACGTCTTTGCTTCACACACCGTGATACCAACAGCGCAAAGCACCACGCCTGTCGCCTGGCATATCCAGGACACCTCCATGAAGCTGGAAGGTGGAAGCTGTTAATGATATCACACACTTAGGCCACCGCTAACCCAACAGTCTGGCTCCCAATGCCCATTGCAATAGGTACGTTTGAAACTTTCTCTCAACTACAGCGTGTGCGCGCTTCGCTGCGATACGCGCACATGCATAAGCTCAAAAGATGATATGTACATCGACCATATAATACTTTAGGAAGAGCCGGAAAAGGTATGGCTAGCATCGACATATGCTACGCTGTCGCTGCTTATAACTTGGTCTCTGAAGAGCTTCGTCACTTTACACGTAATCTGGACTTTTTGTCTTGGGACTTGTGCTGACGATATGAAGATTAGGTTTTATCAGTGTATCTGCGGTATGACTCGATTCGAGAATTCACGCGTGGTTGCGCGGTTGGTGAAGTGCGCGTCACGGATGATGTGTTGAATAAGGATTGCAGATGTAGGGTCACGACCGGGAGGAAAGGCTGGCGCTTGTGCAACAGCGAAGTAGCTTTTCTATGGAAGCTATAAGGACTGCCCCTATGGCATGTTTGCCATATTATCCCAGTTGAGCAGTGCTAAAGCATCTAGCTCGAGTGTCGGTATAGACGACATTGTCTTCTCGCAGTAGACCACGTCTTCTGGCGTAGTCTGAAGGGAGTCAGTAATGGCTTGAGCTGGCTCATATCCACACCAAGGCTGAAAAAGCCCATTCGCGTCGAGGCTAAGCTCCGGATCTATCATGGAAGACTGATCCTGAGGCCCAATAGTAATATCGTCAAGATTTCGCAGATCCACATCCGCCCCAAAATCAATCAAATCATTAAAATCAAAGCTCTCCCCACACCACGATTGCTCTCCCACCTGCACCACTGCACATCCTCCTTCCTCCTTCCTCCTCTTCTTCTCCCCAGCCACCCTACCCACCCACTCCCGCGGCGTAACCCCCATCCTCTCCTTAAAAATCCTATGAAAATACCTCGGCGTAAACCCCACTCCCCTCGCCAACTCCCCCAACCTCAGCTTCCCCCCTTCTTCTTCCCCTTTCCCCACCACCTCCTCAATCCGCTCACACGCCTTCTTCACCGCTTGCTCCTGCTTGTCGTCAAGCACGGTGACGTTGGGCTTGCAGCGCTTACATGCGCGGAACCCTGCCGCTTCGGCTTCGCGCCAGGTGCTGTAGAAGGTGATGTTTGCTCTACGGGCGAGGCGCGCCGGGCAGGTGGGACGGCAGTAGATGTTTGTTGTTTTTACGGCGTAGATGAAGGCGTTGCTGGAGAGGGGGTCGCGGGTTGTGAGGGCGTGGTAGCGGGATGTGGGTGTTGTGTAGGAGGGCATTTTCGAATTGAAGTTCAAAAGACAGTGTTTTTTTAGGGAGAGAGAGGGACGCAGGATGATCAAGTGCATATTTGGGATGGGGAGGCGGTTTTATTATGAGATACAGATGAGATACCTAGGTAAAAGGGTATCTGTGCTCTGATTGGTTACTTTGAAAACATGTATGGATGGGGTGGCGCATGTTGGACCTTTTTGTCTACTGCATTTATAGGAATTGAGATTTATGTTAATAAGAAGTTGGAAATTCATTGAAACGATGTCTTGTTAGCATAAGACCATTTGCAAGATGTAAGGGGTGGGCAGGATAGCTCCTTCTAGTCTATTCATTGGCATGCTGGAAGAGGTAGGCACGATGAGAGGACTCACGTCTGAGTCTCACTAAACTATGCCTCTCATCTACACATATTTTCCTCAATCTTTTGTTCAAAATCGTGATATCACAGCCGTTCTATTCAATATGGCGGATGCCTCCAACACAGTCACCCAACCCGGCATCGCTGCACTTCCACCCCCAACAATAAGACAGCTGGGCTCCGGCCAAGTCATCGTTGATCCCAGCTCAGTCGTGAAAGAGCTCATCGACAATGCTCTCGATGCCCGTGCAAAAAGCATCTTCGTCGATATCTCCGCCAACACGATCGATTCCATCCAAGTCAAAGACGACGGCCATGGCATCCCGAGTGAAGACCGATCTCTCGTATGTCGCCGTTACTGCACGAGCAAAATCAGAGATTTGAAGGATTTGAGAGAGCTAGGGGGCAGGTGGCTTGGCTTTCGTGGAGAGGCTCTGGCAAGCATGGCAGAGATGAGCAGCGCGTTCAATGTGACGACGAGAGTGGAGGGTGAGCCGGTTGCTGTGAAGTTGAAGTATAATCGGGATGGGGAGCTTGAATCGTGAGTTCCTCATTATTCTACATGCTGTGCTAGATTGCTAGAGAACTAACAAGTGTAGTGTCACGCATGATTCACACCCCGTTGGCGCGACTGTCAAGGTAACGGGGTTCTTCGACTACATACCCGTGCGGAAACAGACGGTGGTTAAGAACGCAGCCAAGTGTCTGGCGAAGATTCGACGACTTATGCAGGCGTATGCTCTTGCTAGACCGAGTATTCGGTTTAGGCTTCGTGTGCTCAAGGCTAAGAATAGTAATAGCGACTTTAGCTACGCACCGAGGGCTCATGCTGATGTTGGAGATGCTATTCTGAAAATATTTGGGAGAGACTGCGCTGCCCAGTGCGACTTCACTACTGCGGAAGCTGATGGCTTTGAGATTCGTGCCTTTCTGCCTAAGCCAACTGCAGTCGGATCGGATATTTCAGGTCGTAGCAGTTTTGTCGCAGTCGATGCACGGCTGGTGTCGAGCAACCATGGGACTATCAAGCAGATGGTTCATGCTTGCAAACAGCGACTCTGGAAGGCGAATCCCTCTCTCGGAGGCGTCAGGAATCCCTTTTTCTGCATTAACATTATTTGTCCGCCTGGAAGCTATGATCCCAATATCGAGCCGTCCAAAGACGACGTTATGTTTGAGGACAGCGACATCGTTTTGGGGGTCTGGGAAAAGTTGCTGGGCTCCTTCTATACTGAGGCAGTGACCAATCTCGATAATGATGAGCCGTCGTCATCTTCCCAGCAGAGCTATCAGCTTGAGCCAGGCAATGCAGTTGATCAAAATCGGGACGAAACCACATCTGAATTACATAACACGAGTGGTCAGAATGAAGCATCAGTCTCTGCGCCACAGCCAGGTTGGAGACACAGCATGTATGGCATTGACGAAGAGGATCTCGAGTTTTTGCAGGACGACCGTACTCCTGTCATTGACGAAGAAGAGGGACGTCACACCGCAGAAGTATCCAATCCTTGGACGATTGCTCGAATGAATGCTGCAATCAAACCCAGGGGGGCCGCTAGCAATAGACAGCTGCTGAGTCTAGCAAAAAGTACTAGAAATGTTGATTCAAGTTCTAGTGCTTCGAAGATACCTGCAACGCCTAATCGAGTGGTTTCAGTGGAGCCTTTGACGCCTCAGACATCTTCGAAGGCGAACACGGTGCAATCACTGCTTGATGATGAACTTGAGCGTAGCATACAACGCCTGCCTCCGCCGTCATCGGTAGTAGGAAGTATCAGTGATTGGGTTATGGATCGCCGGGGAGGCCAATCAATCGATAGTACAGGTACATATTTTTCAGGAAGAGAGGTACCAGGCTTTGACCTACGGTCTGAGACCCAGGCACCAGAAGCATGGACGTCGCAACTGAGTCAACACCGCAATATCGCCGCCGGTATAGATTTTACAGACCAAGTTGCTCCTCATCGACAGCTAATTCAAGGCCCGCATCCGCCAAAAAAGACTGCTCGTCGTAAGGAGCCCAAGGACGCTACAGCACCGCTTTTCTCGACCGACAGTTTGCAAAGACACCCAGCAGGAGAACCAGGACAAGAAGAATCAGCCCGTCCTTCTCCAGCCAAAAACACCGATATCCGAGATTTCTTCGGTCAAAGGAGCGAGATTCAAGAAATCCATCCCGTCCACAAACCATCCTTTACGCCAATCAATCCACCAACCCAACGTCAACCCAGACCCTCGACCTCCTTCACACTCCATCACAGCCCCTCTTTTCCGCAAAATAAGAAAAACAACTCACATAATATATCCCCAGCATCTCACTTCCCAGTCAGCCAGCCCACCTCCACCAATTCACTGGCCAAAACCCACACCTCACCTCCCCCACCGCGCCGCAACGAGCCACCCACACAACCCACCGTATCACGCCGCACAAGCACAGACTCCATGACTTCCTTCTTCCGTACTCAAGAAGAGAAAGCAATCAATCACTCATCCCAGCGTCTCATGCGCGACACTCGCGCACCCACAGCGCCGCCGCACGAGCAAATACCACACTCTGTACACAATCTAACACTGCATATTACTATCAACATCCCATCCATCATATCACTCGTACTCATGTACCGGGAGTCAACTCTGAAATGGGACTCGGCGGCGCAATTTGCGTACTGCGGGTTCCGTGCGGATGTGTCGGGAGGGCAGATTGTAGAGTGGGTGTGCAGGATAGATAGCAAGTTGTATGGTATGTATGAAAGAGTGAGTGACGCGGATGAGATAAGTATAGTCATCGAAGGGGGGGTGAAGAGGGCGTTGGAAGGGATTGAATGGGAAGGCGAAGAAGGGGGGGAGGAGGAAGAGATGTTGATGGAGCTGTAAGCGGCATCTTTTCCACAATCAGGAAGGACCATAGAGCAAGGACATGTGGGATCATCTCAGATAAAAAAAAACACTTTATGACTATATTCCCACCTTTCTTTTTCTTTTTCTACGAATTCCCCAGCTTGAACTCTCTAAACGCAACCTCCTCCGGCAACCTGAAGCTTGCACAAAACATCCTCTTCTTAGGCGCCACATCGCGTACATCATGCACATACACATCCTCCATATCCGGTGTAATCTCGTACTCAATCTGTCTACTGATCTCTTCGCAAATACCCTTAATTTCAGCCACATTATCGTCGCTCTTTGTGGAGAAGCAGTGGACGTGGATCATGGGTAGCTTCTGCTCCGTGTGGGGGGCTAGCTTTTTCTTAATATCAGCGGCAGGTAGGCCGGGGATGTTGGCGTAGAGGCCGATGAAGGAATGGAGGAAGGTGATAGCGGAGGCGGGCAAGTTCATGACGTAGTGGGCGAAGAAACTGGGTTGGATGAGCGTCTTGATGGGCTGGGGTTGCTTGTTTTCCTGGGGGTTGCTGCGGGAGAATTTGGTTTTTGGGTAGATGGGGACGCTGTGCCGGGAGTCTTGGACGAGGAGGTGGGCAGATGCTCGGCGGATGAAGGAGCTGCCGTCGGTGTTGAAGGGGCGGACAAAGTCGCCGACTTTGTTGATTTTGATGTTGTTTACGAGCGAGTTGTACGACTCGGGGTTGAGGTCGTTGGCCCAAACGAAGCACTTTTTCTTGCCAGAAGGGATGGCAAATGGGCCTACGCCTGCCATGACATCGCATATGGCCTCGCCTTCCTTGAACAGGTTGCAAAGACGCTCGTGCTCGGTGTGCAGACGTGTGTTCCAGTAGACCTTGGCAAAGTCAAACTTGAAGGTGCAGCCCTGCTCGCGGAGCTCGACATTCATGTCGTCAGGTCCGTGCAGGACCTCGTATTGAAATGTGCGAAAGGCGTTCTCTGTGCCCACATTGTCCAGTTTGTTGATGACAGTCTTGACCATAGGGTTCTTGTCGGCAAGAACAGTGGCAATAAGGTGTTTGTACGGCCAGTACCGCTCGCGCAGGTTTAGGTGAGCGACATGACCAGCGAGAGCAAAGCCCTGGGGGATTTCGTCGTCGTGCTTGGACTCTGGCGGGGGGATGATGGCGCCTGTGATCTCCGAGTAGGTGAAGTAGTCGTAGTCGAGGTGCAGCTGGTAGGGTATCACACCCAATGTGCCGTCCTGCTCAAGGTCGCGCAGCTTAGGGGACCATGTGGTTCGATCTGCCTGGCTTCAGACTCAGCACCCGGATATACCTACGGCTTGCGCATGTCGGCTGACTCACCAGTGTGGACGACTTCCGGTCGCAGGAGCAGACACTTGACGCCCTGCTGCGCTCTTTCCGCGTCGGGATCTGCCCTGATTGGATCGACGCGATTGTTCGGCAGCGTGTCCTTGGCGGCGGTGAGTTCCTTGCGGCATCGCGAAATGTCCTTGGGGTTGAAGATGCGGGCGGCCGAGGTGGGGATGGTTTTTTGGAAGAAGCTGCGGTCGAGCACCTTCATAGCGCGGTTCACGGGGGGCGCGAACATATCGTCAGTCGCCTCTGCGAGGGACATTGAAGCGTGGGATGGGGGCGTAGTGGCAGTGGCGGGGGGTGGTGTGGTGGTGGTGAGGGTGAAAGTAAATGTGGTGGTGGGATTATTTTGTGGAATGACGCAGCGTCAGGGTCCCCCGTCGGGCCCAGGTACCGAGCATGGCCCGTCAAATGCCCCTCGACCTGTAGATGCGAGCCAGATGATGTACCTGCAGCAATCTTCAGCCGCATCCTCGCAGCACAGCACCTGGCCGGCTTTGCTACGCCTAACTCTTTACACGTGCCAATTATTGCAAAAGGGTGCCGGGGCCTGCTGAGTGGCCAGAAGTTCGCCGGGGCGGGAATGCAGGGTGCAAGGATCGCGTAATCCTAAGAAGTTGCTTGCTTGTCCCTGGACCGCGATTTCAACTCCCATAACAACACCACCCTATGTCTGTGGCTTCAACCACCTCCTTGCCCGAAAAACAACATCCTCACCCGCACACACACCCCCGACTGCCCCAGTCGCCGCCCATGAAGTCTCACAGTCTCCGCCTCTGACCGCTGCTGCTGCAACCTACCGCCCTCGCTGCCCTCTCCTTTCTCCCTAGTACATATACCCCGGATTTCCGCCTTCTAGCCCGCCGACTGCACGCCCGCCCACCATGGCGTCCGGAGGAGGCGGCAACATCAAGGTCGTGGTGCGATGTCGACCCTTCAACGGGCGAGGTAAGCATTCCATAGACGCCCTCGTGCCCTGTGTTGCTGTGGCTAACCGCGAGCAGAAAAGGCGCGCAATGCACAATGTATCGTGCAGATGAAGGGCGACCAAACCATTCTTTCCCCGCCAAACACCGACGTTAAGGGAAAGGCCGCCAAAGCCGCTGCTGAGGGCGTAAAGACCTTCGCCTTCGATCGCTCCTACTGGTCCTTCGACCGCGATGCCCCAAACTATGCCGGCCAGGACAACCTCCACGAAGACCTCGGCAAGCCGCTACTCGACAATGCCTTTCAGGGCTACAACAACTGCATTTTCGCATATGGTCAGACAGGTTCCGGAAAGTCGTACTCGATGATGGGTTATGGCGCAGAATACGGAATTATCCCCAAGATTTGCCAGGACATGTTTGAGCGAATAAAAGGCATGCAACAGGACAAGAACTCGACCTGCACCGTCGAGGTCTCATACCTGGAAATCTACAATGAGCGCGTGCGCGATCTGCTGAATCCCTCCAACAAGGGCAACCTGCGAGTCCGAGAGCATCCGTCTACCGGTCCCTATGTCGAAGACCTGGCCAAGCTGGTGGTCCAGTCCTTCTCCGAGATTGAGAACTTGATGGATGAAGGAAACAAGGCCCGTACAGTTGCGGCGACCAACATGAACGAGACGTCCTCGCGATCGCACGCCGTATTCACCCTTACCCTTACCCAGAAACGCCACGATGTCGAGACGAGCATGAGCGGAGAAAGAGTTGCAAAGATTAGTTTGGTAGACTTGGCAGGATCAGAAAGAGCACAATCCACTGGCGCAACCGGTGCGCGATTGAAAGAGGGTGCAGAAATCAATCGATCTCTGTCTACACTGGGTCGCGTGATCGCGGCGCTTGCAGACCAGTCGTCTGGGAAAAAGAAAGCACAGGTTCCGTACCGAGATTCCATCCTGACGTGGTTGTTGAAAGATTCGTTAGGAGGAAACAGCATGACTGCCATGATTGCTGCAATTTCTCCTGCAGATATCAACTTTGAGGAAACACTCTCGACCCTTCGATACGCCGACTCCGCCAAACGCATCAAGAACCATGCCGTCGTAAACGAAGATCCCAACGCGCGCATGATCAGAGAACTCAAGGAAGAGCTTTCCAAATTGCGCTCCCAATTAGGCGGAGGTGGTGGAGGCGGTGGCGGAGCGGCAGGCTCGAATGGTATCGTGGAAGAACAGTACCCACCAGACACACCGCTAGAAAAGCAAATGGTTTCCATCACGCAGGCAGACGGCTCGACCAAAAAGGTCTCCAAGGCCGAGATTGCGGAACAGTTGACTCAATCGGAGAAACTCTACACAGAACTGAACCAAACCTGGGAAGAGAAGCTGCAAAAGACGGAAGAAATCCACAAGGAAAGAGAAGCTGCACTGGAAGAGCTTGGCATCAGCATTGAAAAGGGTTTCGTAGGTCTGTCCACACCCAAGAACATGCCACATTTGGTAAACTTGAGCGATGATCCGCTCTTAACCGAATGTCTCGTGTACAATTTAAAGCCAGGTACTACAACCGTAGGAAATTCTGATGTCGACGGTCAGACTGCACAGATACGCCTGAACGGTTCGCAAATTCTCGCAGAACACTGCAACTTTGAGAACGTGGATGGCAAGGTGACTGTGATTCCCCAAGAGGGTGCAAGTGTCATGGTGAATGGCGTTCGTATTGATAAGCCACGGCTCCTCAAGAGCGGTCATCGCATTATCCTCGGCGATTTTCACATCTTCCGGTTCAACAACCCACAAGAAGCGCGAGCTGAGCGCGCCGAAGTAGGGACAAGTCTCCTCCGGCAGACTGTCACTGCTGGCCAGCTTGGCAGCTCTCCTTCACCCGCTCCAAGGCCTGGTCACGACAGATCATACAGCTCAATTAGCATAGCGAACAGCGACTTCGACCCCGACAGCCCAAGAGCAGGATCGCCCGCACTCTGGCAACGAGGGCGAGAGTCTGAATTTTCCTATGCGCGAAGGGAAGCTCTTACTGCCTGGCTAGGGCCAGATAAACGCATTGAGAATCTACCAGACGAGGATTTTGAAGCACTCTACGAAGATCTCAGCAGGCTGCGCGAGACGCGCAAAGCACGGCCGGAAAGCCGGATGATTAGCGATGAGGGCGATACAGAGTCAATGTCTTCATACCCGGTCAGGGAGAAGTACGCTTCTGGCGGCACTCTAGACAATTTCTCCCTCGATACTGCGCTAACCATGCCCTCTACTCCACACCAGGAGGGTAGCGAAAAGATGCAAGAAATACGAGAGGATATGCAGAACAAGATAGATCAGTCAAGGGATGATTTCCAAGCCAGGCTGAAAGCTGACGAGGACGCCAAGGTGGAGTTGCAAGAGCTGCGAGCTGCCAAAGAGGCAATGCAGAGGCAAATGAAAGCGCAAAAGGAGGCATTTCAAAGGCATTTAAAAGAGCTTGGACACGATATTCCGCTTGAGATAGATGAGGACCTGGAGATCAAATCGGCAAATGCACCAAAAGAACAAGATGCACAAGACGAACGCCAGCTCGAACTGATACGTTCTGTCCTCAAACAGTGGCGGCGACGGAAATATGTCACTATGGCAGAGACTCTTTTACAAAATGCTGCGATTCTCAAAGAAGCTCAAGTCATGAGCCAACAAATGGACAAGCGAGTCGTATTTCAGTTTTGCATTGTCGATGTTGGCCACACAGTCCCTTCGTCCTACGACTTGGTAAACATGGGCATTCCAGGCGAAGATGATGAATACCTGGACAGCCAATCCAAACCATGCGTTGGCGTACGCGTCATTGACTTCAAGAATGAGGTCGTTCACCTATGGTCGTTACAGAAGCTCCGCGATCGTGTGAGGCGGATGCACCAAGTGCATCAGTACATGAACCGCCCAGAATACTTTCAACATTTCAACCCGGAATCGCCTTTCTCTGACCCTTGTATGCCTGAGTTTACACGGATTGGCGATGTCGATGTTCCACTCGCAGCCGTGTTTGAGTCGAGAGTTCGAGACTTCAGCCTTGATGTAATATCGCCATACACCTCGAACCCCATTGGCATCATCCGCTTGTCGTTAGAACCTTCATCCGCCGAGGCACCTTCAACCACACTGAAGTTCAATGTTGGCATGCATGAAATGGTTGGGTTTTCAGAACGAGAGGGAACAAAAGTGCACGCTGTGCTCTTCGTACCCGGTATTTCAGATGAAAGTGGCGCGACCACTACGACCTGGATTACCGATTTCAACGAAAGCCCCATTCGCTTTGAAAGTGTGCATAGCATGAGCCTTCCTTATCCAAGTCCACGCGACACCTTCCTTCGCATCTCTATCTTTGCCAAAGTCACCGACATCCACCTAGACATGCTGCTTAGCTGGGATGACATGCGCGACTCAGCCGAGAAGCCAAAACAGAAGCGTCGCAATGCACGTCTGCCGGAATCAGAGTTCTACACAGAAGACACGCACGACATCTTCGCCCGCATACAGGTTCAAGAGATTACGGACGACGGTACCTACCAGCCGGTTGAGGTCACACAGAGCAGCGTCATGGACCAAGGTGTTTACCAGCTCCACCAGGGCCTCGCCCGTCGCATTGTCGTGAATCTTACCCATACTTCGGGTGAGACCATACAGTGGGAAGGCGTCAAATCTCTGCGTATGGGTCATATCCGGATGGTCGATGCAGCAGGCAATTGCCCTAATTATGGCTCACCAGTCAAGGAAGTCCCAGTAGATCTTATTTCGCCACCCATTGTCCGAAACAACGCAGACGGCACAACAAATGTCAAATTCGTTGGCCGATGGGATAGCACTGCACACGCCTCGCAGATTCTCGACCGCGCGACAAAGGATAATTTCCGCGTTCGGGCCACTCTTCTCTTCGACGTCATGTCCTCAAAGCTTATTGAGCCCATGACCTTTTCGTTTGACCTCTTCGTACAGATCCGTGGTCGATCATACATGCGTCCAACCTCGCTCTTTTCCCTAACCAACATCTGGAACACGGTCAAAATTGTTCATTCAACAGTCGGGATCTTCAGTGTGGCGATACGTCCAACATCTGTAAAGCGCGCAACAGATCTCTGGCGCATGAACACAAAGGACGACTACATTAAAGGTGAGGAGCAGCTCGCAGGCTGGACTCCCCGCGGTGTTTCGTTAGTACGAGATTTCATCAACGTTGAGAAGCGCCGCCGCCGTGTTGCTGAGATAGAAACGGCCCGTTCCGTCCTCTCCTCCAAGGCCCTCAGCATACCCGCGTCAGCACTAGCATCCTCGAAAGACAAGCCACTAGACGATGCCCAGAAAGCACTCCTGCAACGCATCATCTCTCTGTGGAAGACTAAAAAGGCCCCGGCGGAGATCATCCTTAACTCGACGAACCTCGAGCCACCTACAAACGGCGCTGCTTTCGCACCACGTTCTTCTTCTCCCTCGCCAAGTCCAACGCCTAGCCTGACGGCGACGGTACGCTTCATACCCAAGAATCCAAACCTTATGAAGGCATCGTATCTTCTCACACCAGATCCGACCAACACCCGCTGGACTCGGCGATATGTGGAACTGCGAAAACCGTATTTGCATATCTACTCCACAGATGGTGATGAGATCAACGCTATCAATATTAGCACTGCGCGCATCGACCATTCTCCTCAGATTGCAAAGTTGCTCGGTGGAGTGCAAAATCAACACAGCAACAGTGCAAATGGAAGCGGAGGCGCAGGAGTGTACAAGGACGTCGTGTTTGCTGTTTTTGCACGATCAAATACGTACATTTTCCGAGCAAGGAGTGAACGGGAAAAGATAGAGTGGATTTTGAGATTAGACCAAAGTTATTTCAGTAGTGGGGAAGGTAGTGAGGAGAGTGCTTAATGACTAGAGGACTGTAAGGGGGGTGTAAAGGGTGACCTCTAGTGCGCGAACTAACGTCTATTTCTTGAGCCTGATTTTGAAACAGCTAGTAATTTTTGGGTGTAAGATAGGATATTGTTTTCCTAACCTCTTCAGGCGTTTCCTTTATATAGGCTTTTTTTGGGATACCCAGAGCACAGTTGCTCATTTGGCGCGATCGCTGCAGTAGAGATCGAATTAACCTTTATCGCTAAATGTACTAGTACGCTTGCACTTGTATTGTATGGTCGATGTATCGTTCCTAAACTGAAATGACATTGACGAATCAAGAGCATTGACAACAAGTACCATATCCACTTAAGGATTCTGCCCATGGTAAGATCACCCGACGCACTGCCGAGGCTAAACAATGAATCGATAGAGCTTACACGTACGACACCTCAACTCAAGATTTAAACTCAATAGCTAGCTAGACCCACTATATGCGTTTGCAATCAATCCAAGGACCTAATCGGAAGAGCAACAGATCGTGATCCACAATGGCAGAGGCAGGAAAAGAGAAGGCACAGCATGAGTTGGACAATGAGAAGCTTGGACAATACCTCCAGCAAGAGATACCTGGAATCAAATTACCAGTGACATCAACAAAGATTGGCTATGGACAAAGTAACCCTACATACTATGTTGATGATGCCGCCAAGAACCGGTACATCCTGAGGAAGAAACCCAGTGGTGCCATTATCTCGCCCGTCGCACACCGAGTTGACCGCGAATACAACGTGATCAAAGCTCTAGGTACAGTCAATGGCTTCCCTGTACCAAAAGTATACTGCCTGTGCATGGATCCCGACATAATCGGAACTGCATTCTACGTACGTCACCTACAAAGCAAACCCACCTTTACACCACAACCCACTAACATGCCCTGAACCTCCCCCAAAAAGATAATGGAGTACGTTCAAGGCCGCATAATCACAGACCCAGCCCTCTCAACCCTCCCCAAGCAGGACCGCCGCGCGGCCTGGAAATCCGTAGTCTCCACCTTAGCCTGGCTCCACTCCATCCCCCCCTCCTCCATCGGCCTCTCCTCCTTTGGCAAAAAAGAAGACTTCTACACCCGCCACTGCAATACCTTCTCCCGCATCGAAGCCCAGCAGGCCGCCATCCGCGACGTTGCCACTGGCGCGCCCCTCGGCCGCGCTCATCCGCACTTCGACGAGACAGTAGAGTATATCCGGCGCCATGCACCGACAGGCCGCAGCAGCATTATCCACGGCGACTACAAGTTCGATAATATCATACTGCACCCTACTGAGCCTCGTGTAATTTCGATTTTAGATTGGGAGTTGAGCACGATTGGGCATCCGCTGCTGGATACGGTGTACCTTGTTAATCCGTATTGGAATCGGGCGACTGGGGTTATGCCGGTGCCTGGGGCGGAGGGCAGAGGGGGTCGGGAGGTTTATGATGAGGAGAATTTGGGGGAGAGTGGTATGCCGAGTATGGGGGAGGTGCTGGATGTGTATATGGAGAGGGCGGGGTGGGATCCGAGGGAGGATGGGTGGGAGGTTGCGAAGGTTTTTCATTTGATGAGGGTGAGTGGTGGTTATTTTCTTTTTCCCTTGCCATCTTCGTTGTGGTCGCGTCTGCTTTTTTGAGGGGAATTCGATGGTCGACGTGACGAGTCCTCTTGAGGTGTGAAGTTAGGCTTATGACGACAAGCCTTGCTAACACAGTAATAGGGAAGCGTGATAAGCCATGGCATTCAAGCCCGTACTATCAGCGGCCAGGCGAGCAGCAAGTTCTCGTACATGTATTTTGAAAATACCAAGCGTGGACTTGATGAAGCGATTCGCATGGTTCGCGAGATGAAAGCGAAGGAAGATGCAAAAAGCAGCTTGTAAAAAGACAAGAGCGAAAAGGAAAAGGAACGAAAAATACATAGTGAGCTTCTTTCTTTGATTCTGAGATGTTTTTCACAACATCAACTGTGTATAGCTAAAATGTGCGCTGCTCTATGTCACTGTTCTCACCCACTTACCTGCACTTTCCTTCATCCTCTCCTCCCCCCCTTACGCCCTCTCCTTTCCTCCTTCCCCGCGGGTACGCACACTCCTCTACATGTTACATCATGCACCACACACCATGCACGCAACCCTCCTCTCCTCCTTGCGACCCTCCCCACCCTCTTCCTCGCCATTCCTTCCTCGCGCTCAACGGATACACTCTCTCCGCGCCCGGACTACATCACCCCGAACTCACCTTCCTCTGTCTTTCCCGTCCTCCGCTCCACTCCACTCCACCATCCCCAAACTCCTCCTTCTCCATCCCACCCTAACCATTCCACTCGCCCCGAGCACAAACCCCCTTTGGCCCCGCCTGCCACTTCGCACTCCATTCCCCTTCCCCAACCCCCTCTCTAACGTCCGCACAATGCATCGCATAACGGTGTAGCCCACCCCCAATACCCACATTCCCAATCGCGCCCTCATCCCCTGTAAAGCGCTAACCCCCACCGGTCCATCACCACCCTCACCCTACTCAATTCCAAAAAAAAACCCCATCCCCCGAAAATCCTCCCTACTGATGACAAACCCCCCCCCCCCCCATTTCAATCCAGCCCTCACACTCAAGACAACCTGTCTGTCAACCCGCCTCAGCCAAACTAGCCAAACCTACATCCTTCCCCCTTACTACACAACACCCCGGCCTATACCCGCCGTCCTAAAACAAAAAAGTCGAGAACACAATCAAGCAATTGCAAATCCTATACCCCACCCTTGGCTCCTTTGCCCTAAAAAAGGGCTGGTGACATTGCAGTTTACTTGACAAAAAAGATCTAGAAAGGAAGAGGAGCCCGTTGTCGATCACACAACCTAAAACGCTGCGCACGGACGGCACACAACGCTTAATACTTACCTTTGTAGAGTACCCCAACGTCAAGTGTCGCAGCTTTTTTTTTACCTGCATGTGAATGTAGACGCGAATCGGCGTAAGGTGACAAGCACGCGCCACAGGTATGAGAGTGGGGGGTGTGTGCAAGTATTTGCAATTCCCAAATTTCAATTTTGTATTTATTTATTTGTTTTTATTTTGAATCGATTTGAGATGATGAGATTGCACTGAGTAGTAGTAGTAGTAGATAGGTAAGCGCTTGCGCGGGCGTTACTATTGCACATTGACGCACTTTTTGCCAAGCTTGCATTTTGGCCAGTTTTTTTGGCGTCGAGGAACGGTGGAGCCGCAGGGTAAGGACAAGTGTATATAGCGCAGGGCGAGGGGGGGCGACTCATTGTGTGTTTGTGATGAGTGGGGGGGGGGGGGTGCGGTTCGGAGGTTCGGGTGTTTGTGGGGCAATTGGGAAGGAGGCAGATTGGGCTGTATCGGGTTTGTGGTTTGCTTTGTCTCGAGATTTGTTTCGCACGTGTGCGAACTTATAAGGGTTATTCTCTGGTTGGGCGGCTAGGGGTAAGGGTGGGAAACAGATGGATGTGTAAATCAAAGTCGTACGAGAAAGGGCTTAGGGGTGGGAGCTTGGAATGGCTTGTCAAGTCTTGTTGCCTTGTTTCCTGAGGAAGCGGCGAGGAAGCGGGCTAGAAGCGCAAAGACGGGCAAAACGGAACTTTTTTGCCATCGAAGGTAGATCTAGACGGAAGGGATTTTTTTACAAGGGAAAAAGAGAGAAAACGGGAAACAGAGAAATAATAACAAAGAAACATGTGTGTATGGGAAGAGGCAACGAAATCGCGCGTATGCATTTTGAGTGTTTTTTTGTCTCTTTTTTTTTCTTCTTTCGAGGAAAAAAGTTGCAAGGGATGTTGGCTAAATCTAAATCATTTCCATTGCCCATAAGGGCGACGACAACCGTATGTCGGGATTCCCGCTCATGTTGAACCTTGTGGGATACCCTCCCCAATCATCCATCGCCCTTGTCCTTTTTCCGCGCGCAAAGCCACCCTGACAAACCGGTTCTGATCTGCTTCCCCCCGAACCCACTCAACTTTGGCAAAAGAGTGCCGTTGTTTACGAGGCCGCGGGGAAGAGAACCAGGAAAGAGAGAAAATAAAAAAACACTGGAGGGAATTTGAGTGTCCAATTTCGCTGCCGTCTCCCCAAATTTTTTAGGATTTCTTGTGACGCCGCGCTATGCAATTGAAAACCACACAAAAGACAACAGAAGAAAAGGAATAAAGACAACACAAGGCAGAAGAAGCAGTGAAAGACAGAAGAGGCGGAGAGAGGATGAGTTGACAACGAAGTATTGTTTGTCTGATTACAAGAGTTGCTTTGCACCGAAAAAAATGGGGTCTAGAACGCCGAAAGATACGCCCAACCAGTCCCGCAAACAAAACGGGGCAGAAGATCTAACAAAAGCTTCGAGACCTGCTGGCGGCTTTAAAACGGAAATGAACAAGGAAAAAGAGAGAGGAAAAGGAGATAGGGAGATAGTGAGAGAGAGATGAAATAGCAACCAACAAGACCGATTGGGGTATAAAGAGCGTGACTGCTTTTGATCTCACAGAGGGAAAAATGATGTGTCAAAGTACAGCGGGTGAAACGAAGAAAGGATAGGAAAATGCGCCCAACACAAAAAGAAAACGAGAATCTATAGTGTGTGTGGGGACTTAGTGGTCGGCAATGTCCTCATCCATGCCTGGGTAGATAATATCTGCCACGTAGATGGCTTGGATGTGCTTGAAGAGGACAAAGGCCCACATAGTGATGACGGCAATGGACAAACCATTGCCGACGTACAGTACCGTTTCATCTCTTAGCTGGTTGCCAATTGAGATGGTGGCAATGACAAAACCAGTGTTGGGGAAGACCATGGCCCACCATCCAAGATGGAAGTAGACGGCCCATGAGTTGATGACCTAAGAGTATTTGTTAGAAACACTGCTAATGTACAAATGTGCATAGAGAACTTACGGCAACGAGGGTAATCATGAAGAACCACATGGCAAGAACCCAGAGAAAGAGCGCGACAACAAGCGCAAGTGTCCTAAGAAGCTTTGCGTCGACCAGGCCATCACCCTGGAGGTCAAAGTCGTCGGGGAGCGCATTAGCCATACCAATCAGAGCCAAGCACGTGAAAGAAGGCGGGCCGACTGCGATAAACATGGCACCTCGATGTTCGCGATCGGGGTATCCGACTTGCATGAGGCGACCAATGTAATGCGCATACATGAGAATAGCAACGGTAAAACCAAGACCCTGGCATCCCAAGCCGGCGACTAGAATTGGCATTCTAGCAGACACTGGCTGTTCCTTTGCAATAACCGATGCGATCGTACCAGCAAGCATAATGGGGAAGATGGGCAGGAGCCACGAAGGCATGAAACTGTTGAGCTTGTAGGTGTGGCTGCAGAAGAGGAACGAGTACTGGAAGGAGGCTAGGCAGAAGGTGATGAAGGTGTATGACCAGAACGCGACTGCCATGGTGGTGACAGCCCACGAACGGTTCGGATGGTTGGCGTCGTACGACTCGATGACGTATTTCTGGGTTCCGGTGATGATGGTTGCGATGGATAGGAAGAAGGGACCGAGGAAGAGACCTTCACGCTCGTGCGAAATGGACGCTTTGAAGGAGCCCGCGTACTTGGTGAAGCGGAGAACCATGGTCATGGTGACACCGGTGAACAGGAGGAGGTTGAGGATGTAGAAGATGGCACCAATGGTCTTGATACCGGGGAAGGGATGCGGTTGGATGGCGATAAGCGTACCAAGACCACCAGTAGCCATGGTAAGAGTGTAGTTGGCCCATGTGTAGTGCGCCAGCCTTTGGCCGGGAGTGAGGTAGGGCTGGTTCGGGTCTTTCTTTCCAGGAATCTTGGTGTGCTTATCCCATTCTCCGTGACCATGTCCATCGCCGTGCTTAAGCTTCTCAAGGTCAATAGTATCCATTTGAGGCGCGGGTTCAGGAGCTGGATCCCGAAAGGGGTTTTCTGTCGGTCGGTGCAGCTCTTTTACGTCAACAGGGTAGCCATTAGCGTCCACTTGGGCGGGAAAGTATGCATTGTTGGATGCATAAAGGGGTGCGGGCGTTTGGACCCATGTGTTAGAGCGACTTGTCTCGCCAGAAGGAAGGAAACCTTGGTTCTGGGGAGCGGCAGGAGGAGGAAGAGATGAGTAGTGGTATGGGTTTGGAGGCGGTTGCTGTGGGGGTTGTTGATACTGCAGCACCTGTTGTGGTGGCGGTGCTTGTTGCTGTGCCTGTGGTTGTTGTAGCTGAGGAGCAGGAGACTGCAATCCTTGTTGAGGGCCTGGAAACTGAGAGTAATTGTTCACATCCTGGCTGTTCTGAGGAGAGTGTTGAGCTGATCGAGGCGCAGGTGGCATGCCATACTGCCCTTGGTTTGGTGGTGTTTGCATCCTAGGACCGGTAGGAAGGCCGTATGGGTTTGACTGACGGACTTGGGCGGGATATTGAGGCTGTTGTTGTTGGATGGGAAAGGGTTGTTGTTGTTGTTGAGGTGATTGTTGTTGCTGTGGTGGGTTGGATGTGAGAGGATACTGGTCGTTGTTGTAGGTATCCTTTTCGCCAAAGGATAGGCCTTCTGGCTGGTAACGGCTTTCCATTGCTGTAGTGAGTGAGTGTAGAGGTGGTGACCTGCACCGTGGAAGACAGGCAAACGGAAAAAGTCAGCGATAGTGGTGTGAGAGGCAAGGAAAACGAAACGTGTTGTAGCAAGAAGGAGTGGTAAGTAATAAGACGGCCCGTAGGAGTAGGCAGTGCTAGGGACTATAGCAATGTAGGAGCCAGGGCCGAACAAGCTCGACATAGGCTGGATGCTTCTACCATTCGGTCCTGTTTCGAACCACGCGCCGTCCGGGCACTAAAAGCAGCCGGCAGCTAGTCAAAGTGCCCCGAGTCGCCATGGTAGGACTTCAGACATCCTTGGCGTGGGTAGAGTGTTGCGTACGCCCTCCCTGGCATCCCTACTGACACTGGGCCGCTATCAAAGCACGTTCCTTGAGATAACGATCTGAGGTTGCCTTCGCTTCATAATGCGCCAGAAACGGAAACTCCGCTCTGATAGTGCCCGACACGCCAAGATGTTTGAGCTCGCAATTGTGGATTGGAGGTCAAGGGCAAGCGCTTGTTGAGGTCGATTGACATCCACTGTGGCTAAGTTGCTTGCGCATTCCGAGACGTCACGGTCTGAGAAGGACAAATCTTTGAAGGCATGTCATTGCTGTACGGTGGTTCCACCAGTGACGACATGTTGGGAATTGCTTTTGGCGATAGGGTTGTCTCACCCAAATGATATCTTCACATGCTGATCACGTCTAGACTAGCAGACAGCGCCCGAACGGCCACCTCGAAGCAAGAACAGGACCGATAGAATGCGGCCGTCTCGGATAGTGTCCGCGGTGCTAGGAGTCTCCCGCCAGCATCAGTGGGACCCCTATCAAAGGCAGGACGAACAGTGTCCGATTTGGATCACAGTGAGCAGCGGCGACGGCGGGCGAATGGGCTCCGTAATGGCCAAGGCGCGGACCCTACAGGCGGGACCTTGGCAGCAAGAGATTGAGATGCGGCTCAAGTTGTATAGCGACGGCGATTCGCGGTGAAAATAGGGGGCTTGAAACGGGCGACGAAACGCGTAAAGCGGACCTTACTGTGTCGTCTTTGATGCCAAGGTTCACGCGCCAAACACAGGCCCACTGCTTTCACGCCCGACGCAGCCACTTCCGCATCTTACAGGATAAGGTTTAGGAAACCTTGGCTTAGATGCTTGCGTATGCACAACACCGTTGGCTGACGATCGCTGCCAGGGAAACTTGACGTCGTCTCAAAAGTGCCAGAAAGACGCATCCATGGTCCACTCTAGGGTTTGATCTTGGTTCACATCCAGCCATGTCTTTGGTAAGTACATAGCCTACTTGGTTCTCGCCCTACAGACTACAAGCGACAAGCGCAGCGGGTCCCCCCTATGCATGTTCCATACGCCTGTCTATACCTGTAGATTGCGATGGGCGAGCGCGTAGCATCAATGGGTGGCTAGTCCTACTCGCAGTAAGGTTTATGCTATTGACCTGTGTATCCGCTTCGTCGATGATCAAAAATGGACCGCTGATCATCGTCGCCTTTGCGCGTCATGGCTGTTCCTGGAAGAATAGTGGCAGATGTGCTCTCTGCGCGGCGCTCTGCTTTGCTCGGCAGTGGGTCTCTTGAGGCAATGAGCGTGGGCAGTGCAGTCGATGGCATTCGCGGCCAAGATGTAATTAATTCGGACCGTGGCAAGTCTTGGTAACGCTGTCGCTCATCAATTCGACCAAGCGTACGAGTGAGCAATACGACGGATCTATTTAACTCATCAGTCAATAACAGGCTGCTATACCTGTGAACAGGCGACCCAAAGGGTTTATGGGCAGCAGCGGCATCATCCCTGGACGGTGATCAACATGAGGCTGACAGGCTAGCAGACAACGGGCTGTTCCGTGCCCTTGGCGACAGTGTTCCTTGGGCGCCCTTCCACATGGCAACCTTGCTGGTGGCCACACGTAGCGCAAGCACTGCCCAGCCACCAACAAGTCAGTTTGTCGCTAACTACGCTACAATAAATAAAAATTCTACATATGCAACCCGCCGATGTCTTGTCTTGTCGTGCACAAAGCCTTTCTGAACCCGATGGTCGCGCCCAACTCCGCCATACTGTCTTTTCTCGTACCGTCATTTGTCTAGTGTTTCACTGGGCCCTACGCTCCTTAGCCTTTGTTTGCGCGAGCGGCCATGAGGGTATACCCTAGGCGCCAGGGTAGATTAAGGTCTGCTCGGTCATTCATTACATAACAATGCGGACTAACTCGAACCTTTACCTCCGGCATACCCTAGGAAATGCATCATATCGAGTCTCTATGTCTCAAACGCGCTCACCATGTATTTTTCCGCCATTAATCTCCTAGAACCATAGCCAACTCACATAAGAAGAGCCCAGAGAGTCGCACAGCCTAGTGGAGCCATGCGGATACAGTAGCCATATCCGAATTTATTGAGAGAAAAAAACTCGTCCTCTCTATACGACTCCAAGAGCTCAATGCCTGCTAATTCCTTCTAATGAATCTCAATATTCTACATCTTACTCGCCTCGCGAAGAACTTGCTTGGTCAGCATCTCACCCTGTTTCCTTTGCTCACTCAGTCGCCCCATTTTCAAAAGGTTTGCTATCATTTCTTCGTCCCCATGATGACTGTTATGCTCGAATTCGGGCTCTTCGCCATACGCGACACGTGCTGCATCGACTAGGATTCTAGCTGTCATTCCAAATATCCTGAACGTGCTCAGACTGTCAGTTGCTGTCGGCGCAGGTCGAGCATCCCCCCCAGAAGATTCCTTGCTATCGGTCAAAAGTTCTGCGGGTTGCGACGGCTTGCGCAACAGTGAAGGCGAATGTGGAATTCTTGGCATATAGAAGTTATGCATCCTCCAGCGTGATTCGTGCCAGTCTGTCCAAGCACCCCTATACCACTTCTCTGGCCTACCGTCTTTTTGCACGGGCGCTGGGCCGTTGCCCTCCCATTCTTTTCGTAGGAAATTATGAAATGGTACAGTAAAAACGGCGGCTACTTCCTTGGGATCGAGACGGGGTATGAGCGTCTCTTCGACAGAGGCATTGCTAACTTCAGAAGAAGCAGGGTTGATCGGCGACCCACTGTCCGGACCAAGAAAAGCAACGCAAGGTCGGACTCCAAGTTCCGTCTTCGCCAAATTGGTAGGCAGCTCGCAGAGATGCTCTAACTTGAAGCCTCGAAGTTTTGCTTCATCCAACGGAAGTCCAATCTCTTCGTAGGCTTCGCGGCGGGCGACTTCCCAAGGTGATTCCTCCAACGTATCTGATTTACCTTGGCAACGTCAGGGCATAGTCATGATACAGATTAAGTGACGTACCGCCGGGCAGTGCGACTTGTCCCGAATAATTCCGAAGCTGCGCACTCCGCACCGTAAGCACCACCTTGAGCTCGCCATGGCTATCGGGGAAGAGCAGGATGAGTACCGCAGCGCGTCGAGTAAGGGGACAGTTGTGCCATTGCGTCGCTGGCGGTGTGTACTGGCGGAGACGACACAACGCTTGCTACAAGACGCATCAGTACGTGTAGTGGCTGGGCGGCGGGGAGGGGAAATGTTATAACGCGTCATGCGGCGGTACAACAAAGCGCTGACATACCGCTGATCTTTGGGAAAGCGCCATGCTTGCCATCACCTTGCGTTGAGCAAACCATGTTGTTGGTCTCATGAGAGATGGCCGGTGGTTGTAGCGCGCGAGACGTCAGTGGGGTTGATGTCATATGCCGAGGCTATCAATACTTAGGCGAAATGCAGGAACCTCATGGCAACCCGACAACGTCTAGCTGACCATAGTATTAAGTTTGGAACGGACCCGTCAAGACATTCACCTGCCATCGTTGCACATCACCGGCACGCAGTGGGAGTAGCATAACTTTTGAACAACTTTCATACAATTGAATCGCATCTCTATATGAAAGGAAACTCCCAATCGTTATCATCCGCATGCGTAGCCATGGAAGATTGCTGCAGATCCCCCCACGTATGCATACGTCGACAACTTGCAGCAGCTCCTCGAGGACATAAGAAAGTAACATGAAATTGCAGAAGAAGACCCATCCGTCAACTAAGCATCGTAAGTCTATCATATGCAGACATTCTTTTAGGGAAATCATTTCGCACATGAGAGACCAACGCCAAGATGCCGCGATGTAAGGACGGCTTGCTCGTCCCACCCCGAACCACTTTTGAACCAGACCAAACAGAGAGCACCACCTGGCCTTGCAGGCGTGCTCGAATTAGAAGACCACCGTCTCTACACCGTTACGCCACCTGGACCGCAGGAGGGGTAGGGAGAGACGGTAGGATGAATGCAGTATAGGAACAGCTTCTTAGATGAGGTCTGTGAATGCCGTTAGCAGCCGAACTTAATAACATACTCGGATTGGACAGAAACTTACCAGCCACGTTCATGGGCATCTCCTCGATTTGTGTGCTGTAGAACTGCTCAATTTCGCGCATCATGCGGACATCATCGGCAGTGACGAAGTTGATGGCAACACCCTTACGTCCGAAACGTCCACCACGACCGATGCGGTGGATGTAGTTCTCACGGTTGGCGGGGAGGTCGTAGTTGATGACAAGGGAGACCTGCTGGACATCGATACCACGGGCAAGAAGGTCAGTGGCAATGAGGACACGGGAAGATCCGGAACGGAACTCCTTCATGATGACATCACGCTGGGCCTGGTCCATGTCGCCGTGCATAGCAGAGACAGTGAAGTCACGGGCAGTGAGCTTGTCGGTGAGCCAGTCGACCTTTCTGCGGGTGTTGCAGAAGATGACGGCCTGGGTGATGGTGACGGTTTCGTACAAGTCGGACAGAGTGTCGAGCTTCCAGTCCTCCTTCTCGACGGCAATGTAGAACTGCTTGATACCTTCAAGAGTAAGTTCGTCCTTCTTGACGAGAATGCGGACGGGGTCGCGCATGAACTTGGTGGTGACCTCGAGGACATCCTGGGGCATGGTGGCGGACAGAAGGACAACCTGGGTGGACTGGGGCAGGAGCTGGAAGATGTCGTAGATCTGCTCGGTGAAACCGCGAGACAACATCTCGTCGGCCTCGTCGAGGACGAACATCTTCATGTGGTCGGTCTTGAGGACGCGACGCTGGATCATGTCGTGGACACGGCCGGGGGTACCAACAACAACCTGAGGGCCGTCCTGGAGGGCCTTCATGTCGTCGCGGACACTGGTACCACCAATGCAGGCGTGGCACTGGATTTCCATGAAGTCACCAATGGCAACAACAACCTTCTGGATCTGCTGAGCAAGCTCACGGGTGGGGGCGAGGATAAGAGCCTGGCAGGCCTTGACGCTGGAGTCGATCTTCTGGAGGGTGGAGATGGAGAAGGTAGCCGTCTTACCGGTACCGGACTGGGCCTGGGCAATGACATCGTTGCCTGAAGGATGTGTCAGTTACAAGTTCTGATTGTAGTGCGGGCAGCGCATATTGTTTGTGGAGGGGCAAACTCACCCTTGATGACGGGCATGATGGCACGCTGCTGGATAGCAGAAGGACGCTCGAAACCATAGGCGTAGACTCCACGGAGGAGCTCAGGCTTCAGGTTCATGTTGTCGAAGGAGTCGGTGACTTCATCGTAGTTGGACTCGATCTGGCCTGCGCGGGGTTGGTTAGCGTGCGCTCTAGGATTTTGCAAGTGAGGCGGTTATCGCTATCGTCGTCGCTGTTGCACTGCGGGGGAAAAGCGCATCTTCGCACAGCAACAGCGGCGTCGAAGTCTCTCTGGGAGAAGAAAAAACTTACCCTCGGGCACATCCTCAAGACCTTTGTCAGCCATGATTGCGACTGGGGAAGAGCGACTACTGGTGCTGGACCGTAGTCGAAGAGTTGCTCGTGGCGGGGTTGAAGCGGGGGGATCCTCTGGATGCCGCCGCTATAAGAGAGTACTTGTTGTGGAAGAAAAAACTAGATACCAGATCCTCTGCGCGAGAATCAAGTGGGTATCTAGAAATGAAGTGTGTTTTTTGTGTTGTGGTGGATTTGGTGATGATGAGGGACAGAAGGTGGGTGGGCAGCCGACGTTATAAGCAGGAGCCACCTGAGATTTTTTTCCAGGTGCTAGCGCCAAAATCTCGCTAAGACAAGCCAAAATCCTCGTCGATGCTTGCAGACGTACGAATACACTGGGCCTAGTCGCCCGCAAATAATTGTCTAGAGTACTATTATCCAAGGTCCGCGCCCCAGGCCCGATCAATGACTCCTTCCTGATCCCCCGTGATTGCATCTGAACCTCGGTTTGCGCCCGTGGAGCCGTCTGCGCAGTGTATATACCAAGCTTTGTTCTACGCTTTTCTTCACAATGGCCCCCGGCATCCTAGACCCCCCTGGCATCGCAACTGCCGAATCACGGCCCTCGAAAAAGCTCAAGACCTGTGCAGTGGCAACAACCGACTCTGACGATGAGGATGTCGCCGTCGCCGCCACCGCAGTCCCCTCGCATCCCTTGGGCATCAAGCCGGCCGGTAATGCCTATACCGCCCGCGAGAACATCAAGTCAAGATGCGGCCTCTTTGCCAGCCTACCGGATGAGCTGCTGAGCCACATCCTTGAGTCATTCGATGCTGATGTGCTGGTACGCCTGGGCAGTACCTGCCGTGCCCTCTATGCTTACACCAGACTGGACGAGCTGTGGAGAGCTTTATTCGTCAAGTAAGTATTAACCACGGTCGACACATGCATGGACTATTTTCTTCGGCTCTTGTCATTTTGTTGATTGCATCTCCACCATGGTTTCCATCAGATGATGTGCAGGAAGGATTTTTTCCTTGCAGGCTGTCTGAGCACGTTGTCTGAGCACGTTGTCTGAGCACGCTGCACGACGTCTGTCTGCTATGACTGTCCTTGGTCGCCTTATTGCTATACAGCTGTAGCCTGCGGAATCACGAGCCCAGTGCGCGAGTAGCGGTATGACTCAGCTCATAAAGCCTCCAGCAGTGGACTAGACAATTCACTTGTTTCTTTGCCTGTTCTCACATATCCTCTACTCAGGATTGGATCGAGGTCGACCGTTGGCGGTAAGCGTCAACGATTACTGAATCCGACAGTCTGATTGGCTATCCCATATAAGCTAGCGTGTTTCTTCCTTCGAGCCACTTTCTAGTCAAACACCGCCAATAATCCAGCGTACGCAATAGCTGATTTGCAAATAGTTCTCCGGCCGAAGATTTTGAATGGCGCGGAACTTGGCGAGCGACATATCTCAAAATTCCCAAGGAGCATGTCACCTCTTTCCCATGCAAAAACCTCTTCTCAGACACTCTGTACCGCCCGTTCCAATGTGCCCACACACCTCTCAACCTCTATGCACTCAACATTCCAAAGCATAACGAGATAGCTCGACTGTCAGATCTGAATTACGAAGAGTATGCTGAGACTTGGGTAAACAAGCCCTTTATCCTCACCACACCCGTCAAGCAATGGCCCGTGTACGGTACCTGGACACCAGATTACCTGCTCGAAAAATTCCCAGAAACAAAGTTCAGAGCTGAAGCAGTTGACTGGCCAATGAAAAAGTACATGTCCTACATGCACGACAACGCTGACGAGTCACCCTTGTATCTTTTCGACCGCGCCTTTGCAGAGAAGACAGGCATCGACATATCAGCACCACCCCACTCAAAAGAAGCAGCATACTGGAGTCCCACATGTTTTGGCGACGACCTTTTTGGCGTTCTAGGCGAACACCGCCCAGACTGCCGCTGGATGATCATGGGTCCAAAGCGTAGTGGCTCGACATTCCACAAAGATCCCAATGCTACATCAGCGTGGAATGCCGTTCTCACAGGCAGCAAATACTGGCTCATGTTTCCCGCTGGCCCAGGCATCGAACCGCCCCCAGGCGTCATTGTTTCAGAAGACCAGTCCGAGGTTACTTCACCACTGAGCATTGCAGAGTACATGCTGACGTTTCACAAACTTGCCCGCCAAACTCCAGGCTGCAAAGAGGGTATTTGCTACGCTGGCGAAGTATTGCATGTGCCCTCTGGGTGGTTCCACCTGGTGCTTAACCTCGAAGACAGTCTAGCATTGACGCAGAACTTTGTCCCAAGGAAGAAGCTGCCTGATGTCTTGGGGTTCCTCCGCGACCAAAGGGCAGAAGTCAGCGGCTTCAAAGAGGACGTTTGCGATAGGGCTTATGAGCTTTTTGTAGAGAGGTTGGGTGAGCAGCATCCCGACTTGCTCAAGGAAGGTCTTGCGGAGTTGGAGAAGATGAAGACGAAGAGTAGAGGGAAGTGGGAACAGCTAACAAAGGGAGATGGAGAGGAGCAAGAAAGTGGAGGCTTCAGCTTTGGCTTTAGCGGAGATGATGATGATGATGATATCCCGTGAACACTTTAGAAAATGCAAAGTTCATTGAATTTGTAAACAAAAAAAAATCATCTGTCTGCGTATTACTATGCGTTTGGGTATAGTTCCTTCATAAAATCGTAAATCATAAACGCCATGTCGTTCATCGATGTGTCCTCTTGTTTCCCCTCTCACTTTGCGTGGTTGATAATCTCAGCATACATGTCTTCCGGCACCTTGCCAGCAAAGCTCATAGCCACACCTATGATCTTCTGAGCATTCAAGCCGGGCAAATTACGCAGAATAGTGTTGGGACTGTACTCGCATGTTAGCATGCGTCGACAGAAAGAAGAGAAAAGCCATCTTACCTAGGACTGGTCAGAATATCCGCACGAATAACAACCAACTGAGCAACAATGCACAAGATGTTCAAATGCGGACCATATGCAAAAAGAAAGTCCCAGAGCTGCAGAACCTCCGGCAGAGGCGGCGTACACGCACACATGGTCAGCACAGAGGCAAAAGCATAGATCCTCGCCTCCATATGGTGCGCCATGAGGTACTCGTAGAGCTTGGGATCCACAACCTCGAGCACCCTATCCACAAGCGCCAATCCCTTGTGCACGCCCTCCATGGATCCGCGCACATAACCGGGACACTCTTGCGTAATCAACCTCTCAAAGCCCGTAAACGCCTCGACCTCGCTGCGGGCGGCGTACAGAAAAGGTCCGCACAGCACATTCATGCCCTGCACATAGCCAATCTGCTCCGCGTCATTCGTCGTCGACGCCTCTGTGCGCGCGCCCCCCGTCCGCGACATCACAGTCGAAGTGTCTGGGCTGCCGCCGAACTCTGATAGCGTGGGGGGTGACTGCCACCCATTGACACGTGCCTCGTGCGCATCGTTGAGCCGCCACGCCACGGCGTTGAGGACTCGCGTAATGCTGTTTTGCGTGACGCGGCGCCGGAAGAGGGGATCGCCTTGGAAGGTGCGGAACGTGTCGTTTTGGATTTTGGCGTGCGCGGGCGAGGCGCCTTGTCGGACGAGGTCGAGGTACACGTCTGTACGGAGCGGCGGCGCGTTCAGCAGGATCAGCCAGATGTAGATGCGTAGTTCCGACTGTTTTAATGGCGAACATGACGTTGAATTAGCCTTTTTGCGGATTCACAGACACTTGTGGGCTCGAGCGCTTTTTTCTCCATGCTTTGCCACGCATACAGCCTGTTCCATTGTTGTGGCTTCTTTATTTTCGTGGGGCTGGGAAAGGGGCGCGCGCAGAGCGAGCGGCGGAGCAGCAACGTACCATGCCCTCGCTGTTTGCGGGAATGCCTTTGGTCAGGATTGTGTAACGCAGTTCCTGGAGGTACTCCTCCGGGTCGCTTGCAGAAGCTCCCTTGAGGAGCAGCATGTCCAAATTCGTCATTCTTGGAGGGAGGGGGTGTGAAGAGCGTTTGCAAGCGATTGGACTCGACCCGTGTTTGGAAGTTTGGTTTGGCGTTTCTCGCCTGCCGGTTGGCAACAGTACTACGTAGTAGTCACGGCCTTGGCGCGCCGCCAGCCTCTCATACGCGTTTCGAGGGTATCATGTTCCGTTCCGTCTCTGTTTCGTTCTTGCTGTGCAGACGGAAAGTCTTATGCCGCCTACGGCAGGCTTGGCTCTGCTTGTCCTCGATGCTAAGGCTTTTTGCCAATTGTGATCTGGAATGCAAAAACAACAAATTGGAGTATACTACATCGTCAGGTCTTGGCTGTACACATGTCATTTCAATATGCAATGACAAATTCCGTAACAACAACGGCAACCTAAAAGACTACCAAGCCTATCTGTGTAATCATGTTTGACCCATGTCAACTATATTCCTAATTCCACCCCCAAAGCCAAGCCCGAATTCCAAAAAAAACCACAAGACTAAGAATAGGCCAGAAGCAAGAGCGAAAACGACAAATCGAGCATGCAAACACGCATACTGCCCAGCTTCCTTCGTGTCGCAGCTGAATGACTCTACATCCTCGGAGCACACTCTCCAAATGGTATACATGTTTATGTAAATATCAAACGCTATCGCGAGCCGCCTGCCCATGTATGCCACAAGGCTTCACCAGGACTGGGCATTTACTCTCTTACTCACACCGTGAAACCAATACCTGTGAGACAGACTCTACCTCAGAACATTTCTCCTCCGTCTTTCTCCGAAAACGTCGCTGATTGTGTTTTGAAGCCGCGGAGCGGGTGGGCTCCGCGCTGACCGAGTCTTGTCAGCAATTGTGTCAGATGTGGATGTGCAACTGGGCATTATCTTCACAAGAACCTTATGAATGACTATTTTTATTTTTTATCGAGGACAATTCTTCCACATACGACCATCGGCGAAGTATTTCACTGGGTCCCGTTCGCTCCCCACACGTTAAGCCTTCGACCGGCGGACTAGTAGTCAGGTGGGTGACCACTGGCGAATCCCCGCTGTTGTATGTTTTTTTGTACCTTTGATTCTGAAAAAGCTTCTTAGAATAAAGCCTACTAAATTGGGGTTGCTTTGAAGGATCTATTAAATCGGTTTGCCCAGATATTTCTTAGCGTGATAGTAGCACAAATGTTTTAACAGGAAACAAAGTACTTAGCACATGAAGAGTAGGAATAGATAGATTTAATCGAATAACGAAGAGAACTACTTACTAAAACTTCTTCTCGTTTATCATTAGGCTTTGTCCTTTTTAATATATACCTTCACTCATGTACTGTTGATTAAAGTAGTTTATATACCCAACAGATTAATATCATTATATGAGAAGTTCACCTCAACCCGCCACTTCGACAGTCATGTCTTGATTTCCCCTT